ATGTTCTTTTTTTTTAATTACACTCAAATTCTATTAAATAAAACTGTGTGCACTAAAAAAAAAACCTATGCACAAACTTCTTTGCAGTTGGATGCTAAATGTGTTTTTGCCTCTTCAGCTGATATCCAGACTGACATTATCTGAGTTATTTTTTATAGTGCTATTGAAATATAAAATGTGAAATTTAAAAAGCAAATTATTATTTAGAGAGTCCTTAGATGTAAGGATTTAATAGCTGATCTTACATGTTTTGATGCTGGACTAACCCCATGTAGAAAACTACCAAGAGGCAAAGCTACAATATCAAACTAACCTGGTGCAATGACAAGCAGACCTCTTGGGGCTTGGTGTGTAAGCATGCTGTTCCTTTACTGGCATTGGTAGCTGTGTTTGTGTTTAATCTGCATTTTACCAAATATCTGTCCACTAAAGACCCCTCCTGGCCAAAAACCAGAAATATCTTCAGTAAATCTGCAGATTTCTCTTAAGGGAACAAATCTGCTCTCTGATTAACATTTTGGATTAATGCTGTGTTATTTCTGTTTGGTATTTATTACAACAGCAGAAAGCACTAGTGAGGTAAAATAAGTCAGCTGTTCATACTGATGATCATTCACATGATGATGATAATTCATATAAATGTATTATATAGCATTTTTCTCCCCAGTATACTTGCCAAATATTTATGAGAAAATAAAACTCAAAAATGGACTAGGAATGTTTCAAAGAAGGTTTAAAATAAAACATGTCAGAGGAAGGAATTAAGTGTTCAGTTGAAATTGGACCAAGCAGTAGTGCTGGCATTTGCTGGAGAGGGAGGGAGGGGAGGGAACCCCCCGAGTTGTCTGTGTTCACTCTGGCTGTGTTTCTGTCCAGCACACCATAAGGGCTCCCAAGGCAGGAGTGATTAAAAAGGTCAATTTCCAAGAAGGTGCCCAGGCTAACAGACATGCTCCACTTGTTGAATTCATGGATGAAGAAGCAGAGTCAAAATAAAATTCAAGGAAAGTGCATTTTATTTTTTCTACTTTGCTGATTTTCTCCCGGAAGATTTCTTCATATTTTCAGCAGACTGTTTTGTATGAATGGGAGATTGGTTTCCTCTGCACTTCCTGCATAGTTTGACTGTAAATTATGCTGAATTCACTGAAATTTGGGTATCACTATACTGTAATTATAACTTGTGGACCTATGTGATTGTTGTCCAGTGGTTGTTTGCCTGATGAAAGGACTGGAAGAAGATGTGAAACTCTGAAAGGTTCAGAGAGGTTTAATAAGGACTATAAGGTACAAACAGGTTGGGTTCTTCTGCCTACTTGTTCACAGCTGCCTTTTTTCCCTTAAATATGCGAGAATTGATTTGAAGGAAATCTGAAAGACAGTTTTTCTATTTTCTGGCAAAATTCCTGTTTGTGGCTTATGTTTTTGCCTTAATAGGGAATTTAGGATTGTTCCTTAGCCCAAAATGCCTCTCAGTCATTTCTGGTGCATCTGTTTTTCCTGTTTACCTCAATGAGTTGTGACAATTTGCATTTCAAAAATGATTTTAATATACCTCAAAATATGTGATACAAAGCATTTCTCAAATACATTTGCTACACTAATCAAAGTGAAAATGTAACTGCTTTCCAAAAATACCATTTGAACTTTAAACATGAAGTAGTAACAGAGAAATATAAGCTTAATTAATACTTAGTGTGCCAAAATACAATACTGACTTCAAAATCTTCATTACTGTTACCGTATTGTTCATGTTCTAAAATATTTCTTACTGGCTGAAATGAAGTACACCACAGTCTTTATAACAACATGAAATGTTACTAAGAATAATAGATTTTTTTTTCTGTATCTTCAGGGTTTCAGAAGGGAAAATTGGCAGGTTTTTGGATGTGCAAAGAAAAAGAATTCTCAGACTAAGCATACTGAAAATTTGCCATAAATTTAACATATTTAACCAGCAGCTTAGAGAAACAAGGGAAAGAAAAAAATGTTTTAATTGTTGCAAACTTTGAAAGTCTTTTCATCTTTCAGTTAATGTGAAGTTCTGTTATCATGTGAAGTTTTGATATGCTAATTTAATTAAATAATCTGTTCTATACTGCAGAAAGGAACAATCAGATGCTGCAGTGATCCCAAGCCTGTAGTTAAATCTGTGCAAATGGACCCTTACCTGAAATCTCATTTCTGAATCAATATACAGTATCATGGGGAATTCTCTGATCTGCTTTTATAATTGTGCAGCCTTGTCTGCAATGCAGAAAAAAAAGTGGTGAAAAAGCAATGACTCTGGATGATCAGTGTATTAAAAGGATATTTTAATACTTTACAATTTTCCTTGCAATCCTGTGGTCATCTAGCAAATAATTAAATTCCAGTGATCATCGTGTAGAATATTGCCACTATTATTTTTATTTACTGCCAAATAAAAATTAAGCGTAACTTGGAATGTTTTGATTTTTCTCCATTTTGTTCTTTGCTTGGATTAGAGGGTTTAAGCAGCTGTTTCTGTATCATCTGATGATGATGAGCACAATCTGCAGATCACATTTAGGAGGCAGTAATCCAGACACTCGTGATGGGTTTCACTGCAGGTAAGGTTAGGCACTTGTTTTATCCAGCATTCAATCCTCACACAGAAACATGAGCTCAGCCCTGAAGACACTCAGCAGCTTGGCATTTATTTTTTTCTCTCTCTGTGACACGGCTGTTTCTAGACTGCCTTTGCTGCACTGAATCTGCACCATTAGAACTCCCAGCAGGAGGTTCTCTGCCCGCTCAGGCTGCACGGCTTGGCTGCACACAGCCAGCGCAGCAAAACACATTCCCTGGGAGTGACAAAATGTCCTCCCTTCGGAGCCAGGGAGACAAATAATCTCACCAGTCTTCATTTTCCCTCACTTCTCAAAAATTAGCAGTTAGGTTTTTATCTCTGTAGGTTTCTACTGAGATAGATTTTTCAGATAGTGATGGTTTTGTTTAGTTAAGAAATCTCTTGCAGAAGCCACTGTCACAGTTTGCATATTTGAAATGCTTTACTGCAGTGTGATTTAATTGAACTTGGAGATGCTCAAAAAATTATTAAAGGTAGGTTGTTTCTATACCAGTATCTTAGTTAACAAATCTAACTGAATCTTCAGTTTATTACAAATAAGTTTTTGTGTTACAAATGTAAATTGATAAGAGTCCTAGTAACATAGCTGTCACTTGTTGTCTCTAAAACACTTAATGGCAGAGTAAGAAAAAAATTTTAATTTTTTAAAATGCAGTATTTTAGCATTTGGGCTAAAGGGGTAATCTCTGCTTCTAATTTATTATCAATTTACCTTTTCAGATAGTGCTGTAGTTCTGAAACAGCAGTCACAGATGTTACAGGAACAATGAATCTCAACTGATTCTAGTTGTAATGATTTTTTCTTGCTGCCAGAGGAGAGAGGGGGTTGTGTCATGAGATATTTAATTCAGCCACAGCTGATGGTCTGCAGGAAAGAGCAAGGGTGTTGGTGTTCCAGACTCAGGCTTCTCCAAGACAGGGTCAGGGAGCACTGCTCAGCTTGGACCGGGAATGGCTCATCCTGCCCAGCGGTGTGGCTGCTGCCAGAGCACAGCGAGAGCCCTGTGTAAACTTCAGTTTTCCCTGCGGGGATCTCCATCTCTCCTGCACTCTCCAGCGGCTGCCAGTTCCTGTGGCTGATACCCAGGGAAGCTCTGTAGTGTGGAGCCTCAATCCATGCTGGACTGGGAACCAGGAGAGCAGGACTGTGTTCTTATTTCAGCCACTGACTCACTGTGACTTCACACAAGTCACTTGGTAGATATTTGCCCGTTTCCTCCTATTTAAAGAGGTTGACAGCAGTCAAAACACTGCAAAATTTGTGGACACACTGATTTATAAATAATTTTTTCTGCTTGTTGGGAAAGTTGTCATTTCAGATGTAGACTAATTCTAATTTTTTAAGGTTTTTTTTTAACCTTTTACAAATCAAATATCAATACCTCAGAGTTACAAAGTTTCCAGCGTGTATTGTATCCTTTGTTGCAATGATTGTACCAGCTAGTTACCAGGAAATCTTAGCTTCAAGTCTTCATGCTGACTAAAAAATGAATACTCAAGTGGTTTTTGGCAGGACCTTTAAAATTTAGGTATGATAGAGGGGGAAAAGTTTATCTGGGCACAGAACTCTTTTATTGAAGTAACTTGTTGATATGTCCCTTGAAATAGGTACCATTGCACTCTCACAAGGTATCATTGCTGATAATCCTCTTCAAGCAGATCAGGAATTGTGTGTCCTGTCTGTAAAAAGTTCAGCTGTGCTCATTAGAATGCTGAACTACCAGCTTTTGCACAAAGTATATTCTCGACATACTCAAGATACTTCAGCTTCTTGTACAGTTATGTTCCAGGTAGAGATTTTCACACACAAATGCCTTGCAGGTGAGTATCACTTAGTACCTCTATAATACTGGGGCATACCCTTCTGCCTAAGGATTCCATTTGGAAAATAATATGCACTACTGAATGCTGTGTTTAAAAAATCAACATTTCAGAAATTGGTAATTGAAACCTTGGTATTTATTTTTATGTGATCCAACTGAATTTCTTGGAAGAGAGCCTGGATTCTAAAAGCAATTTTGAGACATTTGATGTTAGCTTAAAGACCTGTTGATTATACAATGAATTAATATTAAAACAAACATGGATGTTATGGTTACACCAGAATACACCATGTTTTTTATTATAGCAGTAATTAATAAAATACATCTGGAGTCCTGCTGGGTTTTAAAATCCTAATGGTTGCTGCATTTAACTTTAATCTGTGTGCTGGTTTCAGCTGGGAGTTAACTTTCTTCCTAGTAGCTGGCCCAGGGCTGTGTTTTGGAGTCAGTGAGAGAATAATGTTGGTAACAAGTTTTTTTTGCTGAGTACTGCTTGCTCTAAGGCTGTGTTTTGGAGTCAGTGAGAGAATAATGTTGGTAACAAGCTGATGCTTCAGTTGTTGCCGAGTACTGCTTGCTCTAAGTTAAAGGTTTTCCAGTTTCCCATACTCTGCTAGCAGACAGGTGTACAAGGAGCTGGGAGAGAGCAGAGCTGGGCCAGCAGACCCCAACTGGCCTAAGGGACAAACCACACCACAGAACACTGTGGCAAGCACAGACATGGGGGAGGCTGGCCAGGAGCCACTGATCGCTGCTTGGGGACATTCTGGGCATCAGTCAGGGTGTGCTGAGAAACTGTAGTGTGCATCACCTGTCTCCACTGGGTTTCATTTCTCACAGTTTTATTATTATTTATTATATTTGATTTCAATTATTAAATTGTTCTTACTTCAACCCATGGGTTTTGCTCCTTTTTTCCTATCCTCCTCCCCATCCCAGCAGGAAGTGAGGGTGGTGGATGAGCAGTTGCATGGTATCTAATTGCTGGATGGAGTTAAACTGTGACGTTTTTGGTGCCTGATGTGAGGCACAAAGGGTGGAGATGACAACAGATCTGACCAGACTTTGTGTAAAACAGATTTGTTACAAGCATTCATTATATTAATTTAATAGTCAGTGGCCACAGTGTTGTTTGTTCTCAGAGCTGTTGTGCTTGTTCCCAGGTTTGTGTCAGGTGATGATGCCCTTGGTGTCCAAGTTGCCTTTGTGCTGGTTATCACCTCTGAGGGCTGGGCTAAGGTCGATTCTGTTGTACTTTATTACACTGGCCTATGATATGATAGAATTGCTGGTTCTGAAACAAAGAGAAAACAGTCACAAATGGGGGTTCTTCTGGGAAAACTGCTGCTCCAGTCTCCAGGGGGAAGTTCCCCACACAGAGGAAGAGCTGGTCTTACTCCTGATCCTATGGAAAAAAATTCAAATACATTTTTACAAGAAGCAGGGAATCCTAAGAGCAGTACTAGAGGGGCCCTGCCTCCAGGCAGGTGGAGGAGAGGGACAGCCAGGTTTGTAGGACTGTGTGGATCAGATGGCCTGGCACAACAGACCCACAGGAGTGTAAGGCTCTAGCAGATACCTGTGCACAGTGCATCCTAATGCCATCAAGCTGTAAAGGGGCAGATCCCATTTTCCTTCACTCCCCATCCTACTGGATGTGAGCAGCTGTGTGATACTTAGCTGCCAGCTGGGGTTAAACCATGACAGCCTCTTTTCCTTTAAACAGTTCTGGTGCCACAGCAAAGCTCCAAAGAGTGGTGAAAAAGGCTGACAGCTGCATCCCTCTTTGGCCTCTCTGAAAAGGAAGGTGACATCTTCTCCTGGACTGTCCCCTTCTGCTCACTCACACACAGGAACACTCAGCGACCAATACTGGGGTGGATCTGCCACCAAACACCCCAAGCCTGTTCAGTGTCCTGGGCTAAGCATCCCAGAAACATCAGACACAGCTGCTGCTCTACAGAGTTGTAAAATGAGGTAGAATACAAGAATAAACCCATTCAAACCCAGCGCTGTTACATACAAATGTGGTTAATACACATTTTCCTTGAGACCTGCCCCACTGTAGTGTTGCAGGCAGCCAGTCACGTGCACAGAGGTTACAATCAGGACAGTATTTTTGGCCAGGTGGTGTAGACATGAGCCCAAGAATCAGTTTGCTGTTACAAGGAGGAGAGGAAAAGGCTGAAGGTGTGTAACATGACAGGAGCCAAGAGCCATCTTACTACTCTTGCCTTGTACCTCTGCAGTGTGCCTACCTTCAAGGCAAAAGACTCTACCTCCAATATAAGTTAACTTAAATTATTGTTTTGTATACCAATACCAAAGTATGTGCTTTGCATTGGGATGGCTGATTTTTATTACATTGAACAATTACAGGTGGCACATACAGAAAATCACTGGGATAGGGTGATTGATGTCTCAGTCTTCTAGATTCTTGAAATCACCTGCAATTCTTTGTAGTGAGAATGGAAAGCTGCTTACAGTTCAAAGGTGTAGGTTTTAATCATGAAGCTCTGATGGCGCTGTGTGGATCACAGCTTGGGAAAGTTTCAAAGAATTCTGGTTACAAGCATTGTACCTTGTATTACAGAAGTTCTGAACTAAAAAATGTCCATGTAAAAATCAACTAGCTATGTCAATTCTTATTGCCCTCCCATTTGCTAACTCATATTACTTAAAATGCTTTTAGTACACATATCTCAGTACTTACTAGTTTAAAAAAAAACCCAGAAGCCTAGCAGTCTGTTGCCTTTTAAGTGTCCTGGGATGTCTCAGTTTATTCAAGCCTGCCAGAGTATGGTGGAATACATGCAAAATTTTCAGATTTTCTTAGCCTTTCTGACCTGATTTTGCTTTGTCACATACAGCTGTCCTGCTCCCTCCCAGAGATGCTGTCACATGGAAAACTGCTCCTAACAGTGCCTTGGACTGGGTGTAGTAACTTGTTAACCTCTTGTGTAATGCAGGAAGGATGAAAAACTTAATAGAAGGTGAACACCCTTCCCTGCAACCTATCAACAACAATCTTCTGATACTGGTGCTGTGTCACTGCAGGTTAAATTGCTCAGACACCTACAGGAAGACTCACTGTTTACTTCCTCTGTGCTTCCTTCAATGCAGAAAAAAACCCATAATGGGCTGATAGAGACATTCCAACTGTATCAGCTGAACAGCACAACAGGAGGTCATTGGGTCTGCACCTCTGGATGCCAACAGAGTGGCATTGACTACCCTGGTGCAGGATAGCTCATGGGACTTTGCTACAGGAAGACTCACTGTTTACTTCCTCTGTGCTTCCTTCAATGCAGAAAAAAACCCATAATGGGCTGATAGAGACATTCCAACTGTATCAGCTGAACAGCACAACAGGAGGTCATTGGGTCTGCACCTCTGGATGCCAACAGAGTGGCATTGACTTGTGCAGGATAGCTCATGGGACTTTGTTCTCTCTTAACCATGGGGTCAGTTTGCAGGCAAAGGGTCATAGCTGTAATCACCCTATGGCTGTTACATCAGTATATGATGATTTGGTGGTTTCATTTTCTAGAGCACAAAGTAAAAAGATCTGGTTAGAAAGACATGTCAAGCCCAAGCTGCCCCAGGTTACTGTTATCCTTCATAAAGCTTTGGGCCTCTTCCTCAGAAAGTGCTCTAAGTTCTCAGCCAGGGGATTACACTAAATGGATTCTGCTTTGACCGAACATGAGACTTATTTGTCTGCTCAAGAAGAGAGCTCAGGTCAGTGTAAACCAGCTCAGTGTTATATTCAGTTATGCGCTTGACACAGTTGGTTTTAAAAAAATAAAATCACTGCCTCATTTTCCTGGGGTTCACATGAGAAGATAAAACATCATTGGTTCACACAACAAAACAAGGCAAGTGTGTCAGCCTTAAAACAAACTGAACAGGTCATCGTGTTACCCTGGTCACGGTGATTGTGCTGCGGGCACATTGCACAGTGACATTTCCTTCTCCTCGGTGTCACTGAGGGCACGTGTCACGTTCACAAGCAGCACAGCTGGCTCTCCCTGCTCTGACCTGGGCTCCATCCTGCACGGGGCTGCACAAAAGGCAACATGTAACAGGCCCAGTTCAGGTAACTTACGCTTTTTGGTGGCCTCATGCTGCCTCCTGGCTTATAAAGCATCTGGTTTTCTAAGAAATGGTGAGAGTGAGATTCAGACAGCACACACAGCATGCAAGTACCCATCTCCGTCTGTAGGCAGGATCAACCAGGATATGGGTGGAATTGGGGCAATCTGGCTGTGTCCTGAAGTGTGTGCCTGCCCACTGCAGTGAGCTGTGTTTGGAGAATAACTCAGTCTAGTCAGACCATGGTGGCCAAGAGTTCTGGGTAAGGTAACCTCAGATTCAGAAATGCAGCCATATCCCCATGGAAGCACTCTGGAAACCAATACAGAACACTGCAGCTCCCACTAAAATCAGTAACACTAGACTCATGACCTAAATGGCAGCAGGAAGTCACCCTTTTCTCAGGTACAGTATCACCTGAGGAGTGATCTTGAATTGGAAAAAAACCCACAAGAAATAGTATGCATGCTGTGAATAGCAGCAATATGTATTTCACATTTTTAACTATATTTCATTTTTATAACTTATATCACAGGATTATCTCGTTATCTGCCCTGCTCAGAAGTGGTTAAGTATGATTTTCCATACCTTCTACAACAGGAATTCATAATATAGAGCAATCTAGTAAGTTAGGGAGATCAAACCAAAAGCCAGTCAAAAAACTAAACACAAATACAGTGTGCCCCCATACACTCAAAAAAACCACTAAGAGTCCCTGCATTACAAGAAACCTGCAAGATCTGCAGGTATTAGAAAAAAACAAGTCACTTTAAAAATCCTCTTTCTCTCCTGAGGAGTCTCCTGCATGCACAGCTCATCCCTCAGATTATTGTTACATGTCACAATAATTCTCCAGGTCTAAACTGTGTCTTCAGCTGGCAGGAGGGCTGTCACAGCATGTTACAGTGATGGCAATTAGCTACCTCAATCAAAGGGATTTCCAGGTTTGGCTTTGCCTCCCCTGCCGTGGTTACAAGGGCAGGGCTGGTGTGCAGTGTTCATGGCTGTTCACTGGCCAATTTGCATCCACCCCCAATTTCAAAATTATGCTCTTTGGTAGGATTCAAGGTATCCAGGCAACTGCTGTCTCCAAGAATAGCTGAATTTAGCTATATTCCCATATACTTGATATCAAGCTCTTAATTTTACTGTTTCATACACCAGCAAAATTGGACACTTCACAGGACAGGCCCGATTTTCCTCACCAAATACAACTGAACTCCTTACACTCCCATCTCAACTTTGCTCTGATTTTCAGGAAAGTAAGCAAGAAACAATTCAGACCCTTTTCTATAAAAACTCATACATAAACTGTGGACATCCATGATGAGGAATGGCTTTTTGAAGTCTTAATTTCTCTGCGGTGTGTGCAATCATACCAGTCATAATAAATACAGAAGCTTACTTTAATAGCTCCAATCTCAGCAGGAGATGAGAGAACAAGATCAGATCTCAAACCTTTGTCCTTCACAACAGCAGTTTGCCACCACTGTGAGTTTTATCAGCAAGTATTTTGCTTCCCCAAACTCCCTCGGCTGCCAAAAGCCTGCAGTAGGTAGAGTAAGCTTTCCTGGGAAAAAACAACTGTCTGGGATAGTGGTACAAACCGTGATTTAACCATTGCAGCCCCTTCTGCTAGCACAGCTGCGCTACTGCGGGAAGAGCTACATCTGCCCACAGCTGCCCAGAGCAGATCACAGCCTGGAGCAGGGAAATCAGGGAAATCTTACAGCTGTGGAGGTGCTCCTCTGTAAAGCTGCTGCCCCGAGCCTTCACCTTCCCCAGGTCTCCGTGGCTGCTCAGCAAGCGATTTTGCCTCTTCTGCGAATCCATCCTGGAAAGCCCGGGGGATATTCCCATCTCACCCTTTCCGGGTTCAGGCCCCCAAGAACGGCGGCCACACGACCCTGGCGCTCACACTGATGGCTCGAAAAGCGTTTGACCTTTTGATATTGACGAAATAGGAACACATAGGGAGTCCTCCCGACAGAACAGCGGGTCCCGGGGTGAGGAGCCGCTGGGAGCCCGCACCCCCTCCTGCCCCAGCCGCATCCCCTTCCTAGCCCCAAGCCCACCCCATAACAGCCTCCAGGAGGCCGGGAGTGACTCTTTCCTTCCCTTCCCTTCTCTGCTCGGGCCGAGGCCGCCCCGGTGCTCGCCGCGACCTCAGCGCCGAGCGAGGGCCGCCCGCCGCTCGCTGCCGCCGCTCCCGGGGAACGCGGCCGGGGCCGCCCCCCGTGAGGGCTCCCGGCTCCCCACACTGCGCATGAGCGGGGGAAGGCGGCGGAAGGGCCCGTGAGGAGCCGGGAGCCGCCGCCGCCGGAGGAAGCGCCGCCGCCGCCGCCCTCAGTGTCCGCCCGAACCGGGAGGGGAGAGGCCCGCACAGCCCCCACCATGGTGAGCGGCCGCCCGGGGCCCCTCTGGGCCCAGCGTGGCGCCTCGGGGCCGGGCAGGGGCAGCGCGGCCTGGTCGTGGCGCGCTGGGTGTCCGGGAGCGGCCGAATGGCCGGTGTCGGGGGCTCCGCAACCGGGCACGATGTGCTGGCCCGGGGGCTGCTCGTCCTCCTGCCGGGCACGGCAGGGCCGGCGTGTGGGGCCCGGGCCGGGGCCGCGGGGCGGGCGGCAGGGGCTGCTTCGGGCAGGGGCCTAAGCGGGGGGCGCCGGGATCCCGCCCAGGCTCCGACCCGCGGGGCCCCGGCAGGCCCCGCACGGCGGGGAGGGGCTGCTGGCACCTGGTGTGAGGGTTCAGCCACCTCTGCGGGACAGCGGCGGTGCTGTGGGCAGCTCTGTCCGGGCTGTGCCCTGTGCCTGCAGCCCCACTGAGGGAGTGCAAGGGGCTGCCAGGAACCAGGGGCTGCTCGGAGTTTTTCCGCAGGATTTCAGGCGTCCAGGACCCATTAAGTGCTGTCAGTTCGCAGGGAAACTTGGGGGTGTTGATGCTTCTTGAGCTGGGATTATGTTGGAGAATTTCTGGATAATTGTTCTAGGGTCTTGGTTGGTTCTTTTCATTGAAGTGTTGTAAGGGAGGGCCTTGCAGAGGTCATCCTAGTAAAGGTCTTGTAAAGGTTTATCTTGCTTTTTCTCTGTAATACAGTTCTTGTAGCTGAGGATTTGCTGTGGACTCCCAAATCGACTGACTTTCTCCCTTGCTTCTTGTAGGGGGAAAGTTTAGCACAACATTTGCTGGTTTTGTTTGCCTAAACAAAAGAAAAATATATTCCATCAATTTAATTAAGGGGGCCCTCATTGGTTTCTTGGACAGTGTCTTATGCACCAGAGGGAACAGTTTATAATAGTACTTCCAGGCTTTCTCGGTGTTCAGGTGTTGTAACAGCTTTAGCTACTACACCTGTACAATGTAAAGCAGTACTTTTCTGTAGCAGTGATACGGCCTTAGGAAGGGTGTAGGAGGGAGTCTTAAAATCTACTGGTGTATGCTTATTGTTATAAAGATATTTTATGCTTGCTGTTAATGCTATTCTGACAAGCAGAGTTAAAAACATATTAAAAAAATTACAACGTCACCTTTAATTGATGGAGTTACGTTGGCATAAAAATTTGGTTAGCCAGCATTTAAATTAGTGGTGTGCAGACCTCTAATAAACTTGCCACTATGTAACTAGTATAGTTTTTAATTGAATAGTTTGATGTAGATCTTCATTTGTGTTTTTTTAGGAGTGCTTAAGACTGAAGTCTGAATGAAGTTCAGACTGTAAAGGTGTCTTATTGTAATTGTGCAGGTCTGGGACTGTCTGAAGTTGTGCATACACAGTAATGTTACACAACTTTTATGAAGACTTTTTTCCATAAAAATCACCTAGAGTTGTCTCACAGTATATCCAGTGTAGGTAGGCAAAATAGATACATGGTTGATGAAATAGACAGTTAATGTCTTGAATTGACATTATTGTCAATATATTATTGGCTGGCTGTGAGATTAGAAATTTAAATTGAACCATACTGTAGCAAGTGGCATTATAACAGAAATAGCGAGGCCCATTATTGGAGAATATATTTTTGTGAGAAACAGCAGAGTTCTGTCTGCTTGGTCTTCTTGGAAACACTTAACTGGAGAGCCAGCAGACATATTCTGTGTAGCAGTTCTGTACTGGTAGATTGGTATTTATCAGATGGGAGGGAGTATGTGAATACTCCAGTCATGGCCCCGAGCAGAACTGTTAGGCCCTGTGCAAACTGCTGTGTTCAGGTTGTGCTTGTTGACTCCAGCACCCAGGTGAAAGGATGACACTGAAGTGGGACTAAATGACAGGCTGCAGCTTTTAGAAGTAGTAAATACAGGTATGGATGGTTTCCAGTGCCTGGGTGTAGGATTCTGTACCTGTACTTGTGGTATGTCAAAATCCTCTTTGGTTAGGGGAAAGGTAGGGAGGCTTCACAGAGATCTGAGGGTGCCCATCCAGAAACATGAGATTTGATGTCCCATTTTTCATGCCATGTACACAACTGCTCTGGCTCGTCCTCCCAGAGGCTGTGGCCAGGTAGCTTGTCCAGCACAGCAAATGCCATGGCACAGCTCCTGCAGCTGGGGCCTGGCTGCTACCTGTCCATGCAGCCCTGCCAGACTGAGCGCTGCTGGCTCTGCCTTAGTCTCACCAGTGTCCATATGGCCAGAGCTTTGTGCCTTCAGGACAGAGGTTTCCTGCCCTTGAACCATCTTTGTCCTAGATCTGGAAGGGACGCCACCCTGCCAGTATTCCTTGGACTGCTGAGAGTAGTCAGCCTTTCTTACCCACTCTTCGTTTGAGCTGGCTGAGCAGCACCTGTGGAAGTGCTGTCCTTCACCTTCTCTGTGAGAGTGTTACTGCTTCATCTCATCCTGAGGACAGTGGTGTGCCCATGAATCAAGGCAGAGCAGTAAGCTGGTCCACTGTACTCTGAGCCATCTTCACTGCCTGTAAAATTCTGAATGATTTAATGAATTTAGAACTGTGTGTGATTATCTACATCTTTATCCAGAGCCAAGTGCTAGCCTTGTCTATTTATATTATCGATTATATTGTCCAGTTTGTGTTCTCTGGAAAATATTTCTGTGCTGATAAATACATAATTTCTTACTGCAAGCCTCAGCTGACAGGAAGTTGTAAAATTTAATATTACAAGAATTTCATGTCTGACGCTGTCTCCTGTAATGTTAGTGTACTTCATGACATTGTTATGTGGTGTTTAACTCAACGAGCTATTCTGCAAGGCCAGCTGTTTATATGTGTAGTCGGTGGTGCATATGCATGTTTGAAGCAGTTTGTTGATATTAAATATTTGAGGTTTGGTTGTCCCATGGTAAAACTTTAGATTCTTGGCATTGTGCTTTGGACGAAGTAGTCAGAGTGCTAGACAAGATGGTGCATGATTTTGTTTCCTCTCCTAGCTTCCCAGAGATCCCTTTGAACTAATACTTTAAATCACTTTTAACTAGAGCCATGAAGAAAATATTCAAGAATATGAACTACTCTGAGAAGGTGTGAAATTTATTATGTAGCTCTTGATATTTTATGGTGCCAATGCAAATACACAGTATGACTAGAGCTTGTGCCCCAGACCAGAGTTAAGAATGCTAAACAACTGGCTGCTTTATGTTGTCCTTTTTTATTTGGAAAAGCCCTGATTTTTGTGTTTCCTTCACCTCTCAGGTTAGCATGAATTACCATTATATCTACAGCAATATTCTGGGTAGCTGTATATTGACCTGCCTGCATACAAATACTGAAATTATTTTATCCACTAAAAGAACATTATAGAGGGTGGAAAGCAACTTTAATTTTATGTTATTTTTCCCTTGGATTTTATATCTCAACAGACTTTTTAAATGTTTTTGTTCTGTTCCACTGCAGCCAAGTGGATTTCACATCAGTTTGTGACAGAAGCTTAAAAAAGTCCTGACTGTCTTAGTTTGTGTGCCCTCTCTTAGAGAAACTGCTGTGGAAAATAAAATGTAGTTGAAGGACATGTTTGTTTACATTATGCAGAAACTGTGGCTATTTACTTTCATTGTTTTTGTCTTTTCCTTAGATTTTTTGGTAGTGTACCTGTGTGCTATCACTGTTGGTGGGTTAAGATGCAGTTCTGTGTATTTATAGATTTTTGTTGTAATTAACATTTTTCTTACAAAACAAAGAAAAATACTCATGATTCTGCCTTTTAAGCTTTATCCCTGTGTTTGTTGAAATCAAGCAGTAGAGCAGATATTTTTAGGTGCCTTTGGTTCCTTTCATGGATACGGTCCAAGGCGGGATGATTCAGGAGCAGAACTCTCCTGCCATTCGTGTCGCAGCAAGGGACAGAAGGGGCAGTGGGTGAGGGGCTGCCTGCCCGAGCCTCTGGGATTGAGCTGGGTCCTTGGGAGGAGCAGGGATGCTTCCCGCAGCCACAGCTCTTGCTGGACTCTGAGTGCAGTGGGTGTAAAGGCCCACGCGGTTGGGACTGTTTCAGAAAAGGCTTTTACCTTCACGTGCATGAGAACTTAACAGGCTTTTCCTCGAGTCCTGCCTGAAACAAAAGCGCAGATGTCACATCGTTGGAATTCCTTCGCTTAGCAGTGGAACTGGCAGGAATGGGATCATCTGTATCTGGCTGGGAAGGGAAAGGTGCAGAGCAGTTGCTCTCTGTGTGAATGCCTTCCTTGGGGGCCACAAGGAGCTTTGGGCAGCAGAACTCATCGTGCCCTGCTTGTCTCACTGGGGCCACATGGGACCTTTGAGCCAAGTTCAAGAACAGGCTCCAGTGGGGATCCTGAGCTCTCCAGTCCGGGCAGTGTGGGACAAAGGTTGGTGCTGCTTCCCGTGAACATTAGCCAAGAGAGTGGAGCCCTCATTTGGCTGTTAGCTGTCTGCAGAATGTTGATGACCAGTGTGAGGAATTTATCTTTGAATCTGGGGTGACTAAAAACAGTGCAGAAGATAAGGAAAAACAGTAGTCAGAGTTGGTAGAGAAGTTCTAGCATTTTTAGTGCCTGAAACTAGGAGAAAAAATACTTGAAGAAATAAAAGTCCAAGTATTTTATTTTTTATTTGTAATTTTTCACTGAAGTACCTGATCAAGGAAGGGATATTGAATTAGAATATTCAAATTTGGTACTTCATGGTGAGAGGCAAATCTTCGTCTTAAAATTAAAGTTATACAACCAGATGTTAATTAGAATGAGTGTAGTTTTATGAATCTACACAATGTAGCTTTTCATTTAGAGACGTTATTCTGTGTTTTAAAAGGAAGGTTATCTGTCTTGTGACATTCTTATTATGAAAGGTAGCTTGGATACCACACAAACTTGATCAAAGGCTTACAGAACTGAATTTTTCCTTTGCCTTTTGATCCAAGAAATAAGAGTACAAATTTGTTTCATTTGCTTTCCGTTGGTGTTCATTTGTATATATAGGCAAGACAAATATCTGTTAAATAAAATTCTGTCTTCCTTTTTAACCTGTGTTAAAGTTGAGATGTTTTAAGTGGATTGTGTTGCATTACAGTGAGCACAATTTCAGTGTCAGGTATTTGTTGCCTGATGACTGTAGGATTAAAGGTTATGTGCTGCTCTGTATTGCACTTAAAACAATAATAGAGTATTAGTGCTCAGTGTCTAGAAATAGCCCTTAAAAGTGCAGAAGGTTTGGAACCTGTTCCTGCTTGAAATGTGGGTTTTTAATATGCTGGAAGAAGAGCTATAAAAGGATAATAAAAACTCAGCAATAATTCCATCCCTTGCTGTCCTGTAGTAGGCCTGCAGAGAGTGCCCAGTCGCTTGGGATGTGGAGTGTCTTGTCCATACTGGCAAGGTTCTGCAGAGGCATTCATCAAGTATAAAGAAAGGGTTTTGGCACTTCTTCACTAAAAATAAACTCATATTTGACCCGGAAAAATATGAATATTAAAAAAAAAGATTATGACTGAATAGTGTGATTTATTGCATCTTCTGCCTTACTGGCTGTTGTAGTTAGCTGCTTGATTCTTTGCAATTTCAATCTTCTTTTAAAAAGGTTTTATGTTGTTGCTATCACTTAGGGAGCCCCAAGCATGGGACAATCTCATGTACATATGTAGAATTTAAATTTTATCATAAAAGGCATTTAAGATGCAAGTTTTTGTTCTAAAAAATTGCACTATTATGTGACAAGATGCAGAACATAGCACCTTCTGTAGTCCTGGGCATCCATGGTAAAGCTTATTTAAACCTGTTCCTTGACTTTTTGTGGGATGTCACTGCTTTTAGAGTTCCCCCTTGCAGGAGCAGGGAAGAACAAAGCCTCCTGAGGGTTATACAGAGTGCTCACTATTAAATGAGCTATGCATACTTATGTGTACACATTTAAAAAAATCAAAATACGAAAGATTAAAGGCACCAGCTTTGTAAAGGAAAAAAAGAAAAGCCAAGATAATTAAGTATGGCTGTCCTATAGTGCAGCTGAGTCTGTGGTGGTGCAGCAGTCTGGCTGTGTGGAACTGATTACAGGAAGCTGGTAATTGATAGAGCAATTTAAATTTGGGATTGTTTCATCTTCATCTGGGATTTCTTTCAGTGGTTTGTTTTCAATAATCTGAGTTTACAATACATTTTAAAAAGCTGCAACTAAAAATCCATTAGTCATTTCTGGAAGTTGTTCCACATGACCTTGGCAGTGTAAGGGATTTTTGTGGAAGTGTGAGCTCAGTAGTGCAAGGTGCTGAATGTCTGCTGTGGAGCCGGGCATCGGCACATGGGCTGCCCTGGTGGCTTGGCCTTTACCTGGAACCACGCCTGAGAATCTCAGTTTCAGAAATGTGTTTGTAGCCAGAGGTCCAGGGTGACAAACTTGGTCAAGAGGCTGAAATAAAGCAGCAGCACATAATAGCTTTAAAAATGGTACAGCCTAACTAATGTCACTCTCTTTGAAGGCTGCAGTTTGGCTTCAGTTAAATGTTGTAGATACAGGGTGGTTTTGGTTTGGGGGGATTATTTTTCTTAAAGGATACTTAAGCTAAGGGTATTGCTCTATTTAGTATATTATGTGGGTATCAGTTTAAACCAAATGTGATGTTCTTGTATTTTTTTTTCAGTGTAACTCTGAAACTGGTAACTTAACTATTCTTACAAATAAAAGTGTTCACACTCGTCATCAAGCCACAGAAGACTAATCCTGACTTTCAGGACAGATGAATTTGTGTTCTGATGCATTAGTTCTTGTTTCTTATGATGATGTGATTGAACACTAATTAACACTTTGGAATTAAGAGCTTGAGCACATACTGCTCCTAAATCATTCTTTGGCTGAATTTTATCATGTCATGGGATTTTTTTTTGCCCTTTTTCTCCATATTCAGTGAGAAGGAGCTGTTGAAATTACAGTTACAATAGCGAACAGAATATATAAGTTTTGGTTAGAATACAAAGTAAACTAAAAATGAAATACTTGTGCCATGTAAGGAATCCAATCCTGACTTAAAATTTTGTCAGAACTTTTACGTACCAAGTTGTAACATTGTTTGCTTTGACTGTGTTGAGTGAACTGTAGAACTGAATTTGGATGTGGTACAGGAGCTGTGATTGCTTTCTCTTGATGAGCAGTTAGTTTTGTGTAACTCATACCCTTGAAATCCTGAGTGTGCTGCTCCTCATCAGAAATATCCTTGGGAATCCCTCTCTGCTGATAAGCAGCAAGTGTGCGTTCAGTTCTGCGCTAGAGCAGGCGGGATGGCTGTCTGGGCAGGAGGCCTGGAATGCTCTGGAATTCCAGAGCTCTCACCTTGGCTACTCACTCCCCCGCCTGCCTCAGGCACCATTGCCTCTTTTTTTCTTAGCTTCGGTTGCTGCACCTGTGAAATGGAGACAATGCCTCCTCGCAGGAATGTTGTGCAAATTATGTAGGTGGAGCTGAGAACCTTCAAAGGCAAAAATCCTTGTAAAGAAAAAGAAGTCTTTAAGGTATTTCAGTGTGTAGCTGCCTGAAATGGATGGCCCAGCCTAGTCCCTTGCTGCCATCAAGAGGCACCTCAGGAGATCCCGTTCCAAGCGTGGCCCTGGTCCTGCAGCAGCTGGGACCAAAAGGACACCAGCCTGCTGCTCAGTGGTGCTAAACTGTTCAATGGCCTGCTCTGCCCCACCTCTGGAGGAACTTGATCAGATATTTTGGTATCCTGATTGCTTGGGAAAATTATAAAGATGCTGATTTTAAAAAAACATGAAGAGACTGGTTTTCATTCACCTGTGGGGTTTTTTTTCCAGTAGACATTTCTAGTTACAGTATTGTCTGTTTTCACTAGAACAAGTTGAAATCATCACAGAAGGATAAAGTGCGTCAGTTCATGGTCTTCACACAATCTAGTGAAAAGACAGCAGTGAGTTGTCTGTCTCAAAATGACTGGAAGTTAGATGTTGCAACAGACAACTTTTTCCAAAATCCTGAACTTTATATACGAGAGAGTGTTAAAGGATCACTGGACAGAAAGAAGTTAGAACAACTATATAACAGATACAAAGGTGAGTACCCTGAATTTTTAGGCTTATTTCATACTTGTGTAATTCTTATTTACAGTATATTGGTGCTGTTGTGCTCTTGTGCTGGGAAATCTTAACTGACTCTTTCAGCTTTGTTTTTCTGTGCTAGTAATACAGATTAGAAGGGAAATGCAGGTAGGTTTCTGCTTCACAAGGATTAAATGGAGTTGCTTTATGTGATCTGAATGTATCTACATTTGTAAGACATTAGGGTCTGAGCTGGAATTGTGTGTGCAGTGAGTAATTGTGATGGTTAACAAGGATTTTATGCAAGACTCCTGGGGAAGGCACATCACACAGGACTTGATCCTGACAGAGGACAAGGTTGCATACTAGGGATGGGTTCTACCTTGGTTTTTATTCAGCTTGTTCTTATTATCAGGTAGTTACAAACAGAGTGTAAAAGAAAACAGACTCTCTGTATCTGTTGTATAGCCAGTGTTCAACTGATATCCTACCACATAAAGTGGACTTAGTAGAGCAGAACAAATCCTGTGTTTTAGCACTTAATCTAAAAAAGAGTGCTCTGTTTTCTGTCAGCTTTCCTATGTTTTATATGTATAATCCAAATACCTTTTTTATGAAGTCTTTGTTGGCTTGTATTAGTAGATCTTTATTAGCACAGTTGAAATGTGAGCATCTCACTTCCAGACCAGATGTTGATTCCTTTGTGGAAAGAGGAGTGGGCCTGGCTGACTTGGAATCGCTAATGGAGCAGCATAACTTCCCCCTGGAGGTTACTGTGTCCAACCTCTGCGTGCTGAAAACCTCCTGTGTGCCAGGAAATGCCTAAATCTGCTCTTGGGGGAGCCGTGGATGGGCAGATTTGGGTGTTGGTACAGCTTGGAAATGAACACTGCAGAATGGCTTCTAGTGGGACACAGCTCATCAGTGTGACCAGAGGCCAATAATTGAGTGTGCTGGGGGGAGAGAACCACTGTGCTCTGTAGGGAATGAGTCAGAAGATCCTGCATATTATTAGGCAGAAAACAAATGTTTGTGGTGCTTTTGTCTCTCAATGAAAATAATGTGATCTTCATTGTCTGGGAGGCTTTATTGCAGTAACTGCCTCAATTGTTAAAGCTTAACCATTGGGAACACTCATGTAATTTTGTTTTTAAAATACTCTCTTAGAAGGGCAGATCCCAAAAATGACTTCTTGAAAATGTTTCCTTTTCTTAAATACGCTTGTTGAACAAATTAGCTTTTTCAAATATCTGTTTTTTCTTGATACTTACTTTTATGTGCCAAAGATCCTCAAGATGAAAATAAGATTGGTATAGATGGAATACAGCAGTTCTGTGATGACCTAGCTCTTGACCCAGCCAGCATCACCGTACTCATCATCGCGTGGAAATTCCGGGCTGCAACACAGTGTGAATTTTCAAAGCTGGAATTCATGGATGGAATGACTGAGCTGGGGTAAGTGCTCGCTGAATGTTAGATGGTGGCAGTGTGATCCAGTGTCCTGCTTTGGGGAATTCTCAGTCTTGGTGTCCTTTCTGAGACGTTTCAGAGCCCAGCATCGCTTGTCTGCCTCTGGAAAAACGCAGCCCAGCCTTGGTTCTGTGAGGGTTCTGTGGTGGTTGGCACAGAGCTGCTCTGGCAGGTGGAGCAGGGATGTTGGGCAGCCCTGGGGTTTCTCTGCCTTGTGAGAGTGCAGGAGTCTTTATCACACTTCCCTAAAAGTTTTATGGATTCTAGAACCTGATCTGTCGGGTATATGTGCAAATGCAATGCGAAAAAATAACAAAATTCTTGTAGAGGTGCAGACTCATTAAAGTCTTCCTGAATTCTGTTTGGTAATCATATTGTATTCTATAAACAGTTTATAGATTTTAACTCATGTTTTTATAGCAAAGTGAATAATACATGCATACATAAACAAATGTACTTTTTAAAATACAGGTGTGACAGCATAGAAAAACTGAAGGCCCAGATTCCTAAAATGGAACAAGAATTAAAAGAGCCAGGAAGATTTAAAGATTTTTATCAATTTACTTTCAACTTTGCAAAGAACCCGGGACAGAAAGGTTTAGGTATGTATTCTAATTCATAAGCATTTGTTCATGAATATTGGAAATGGCTAATTAAAGCAGTAAATGAATGTATTATTGTGATCCAATGAATCTGGAAGATAATCACCCTTGGCATAAAATACATCTCTGTGTTTTGAAAGATAGATGTCAATTTAAGGTATTCAAATTGATTATTAATAAAGGCTACAGAGTTTTATGGGAGAGGGTTTATTCGTTCACTCAGAGTGAGTGCAGTTCTCAGTAAGCACAATGGATTATGCTCTTATTTTAAAGACATAATTGCACCACTTAGAATTTGCAGCACTGAACAGATTAATTGAATTTTTACTTTTAGGATAAATTGAGGCTGTAGAACCATTTTCTGCATAAGCACATTTGTACAGTCCCTTGTAACACCAGAAATGCTTGCAAATGTGTTAGCAGGATAGAATTGGAATGGTACAAATGGATTCCTGTGTTCTGGGCCTGATGCCTGCTGGTGCCTACCTACAGAGGTTTTTTTCCCTTTACCTCACTGAAGGCTTTTTTGTCATTATTTTGGAGTTCACATGCAGAGTGTGGCTTTGGTTGGTGTAACAGGTAGAGTGGAAAAATAACTTACTAAAAATAATTTCAGAACACCACAGTTTGGATGGAATTAAAGCAACAAACTGTAGCTCTGTCTATGCAAAACAACAAAAATGGGGGAATAAAAATTTCTTTCAAGCTGTGATTTTAAACAGCCAGGATGTACTTTAATTTCTCTACAGTGTGATTTGGCTATTAGCCATAACTAGCCTTTCGTGATCCTGTAACTTCTTTAGTTATTTTTTCTGGTTTTGAGAAGTAATGAAATATGGAAAGGCTGGTAGGTTCTTCCTTGGCAGCTGGTGAATGTGTTCTTCTCAGTAATGAAAATGCTCTAAACTGGCTGCCACTGGACAGCTTTGCATTCCCAGGCTGTGTAAAGATGAGCTTTCTGCCTTAGTTTTACTGGCTTTTATGTACAGACCAACTTTTGCCTTGAAATGAGTATTGAAAAGTAAGTAAATAAGCAAAAGCTCTGTGTCCTTCTCTGACATTTGTTGTTTTCAGTGGATTGTGAATTTCATTGTATCCAGAGGAGCTAAAAGTGGTGCTAAACCATCTGAAAATACTTGTGCGTGCTTGTAGTCATTTCTGAATCATGCAAATAAATTAATAGGCTGATTTGTATTTCTTGTAGAAAATCATTATTTTTTTTTTAGGTTGCTACAACAAGGAAAATGTAGACAGCAACTGAATTGTGGGATTAATTTCCCAGGAAAACTCAATCACTTGCTTTATTTCTCATTCATCATAAAACTTCTTTGTGCATGTTAAGCTCTAGCAGTGGCAGACAAATTTAGTTTCCTGAGATCCATATAGCATATACATAGTGTAAGATAGTTTTTTTAATTGTTTTTGTTTTAAAGTCTGGGTCTGGAAGTCTGAGCCTAAAAGTCTGGATGCTTACCAGCCATTTTGGTGCTCATAAATACACAGTTCTAGGCATGAATTTAGAACAGGGCAGAATAATTCTGGAAACCCTGGAGCAAAACAATACTGGGAGAAGTACAGAGCTGCAAAGTAAGTGCTGCTAGTTAGGCAATTAATTTTGGTGTGTCTGAATAACTGCTTGTAGGAACTTGCCAAATTGATTTTAATGTATATTGGCCTCTAATCTTGCAAACATTGTGCAGTAGTTCAGGCACAGTTCTGGAAATATATTTCCTCTGCATAATTCCTTACTACTGTGTAAGTAGGAGGGTGTCTGAAAAGTTCTTGTGATATTTGCATCTCATTGGAAAATACCCTGTAGCTGGTGTTCATCTCAAACACTGTTTGCTTCTCTTGCATCTCTCTGGATAAAATTCAAAATGGAGGAATTTTGAAACTCTTATATTTGATCCAGGAGGATTTCACTGAGCATTTTCACACTTACAGAAACCTAAAATTATATCTTTAACTTCCAGTTTTGTTATTTCATATAGTTTATTTTTAAAATGTAGTTTGTCCCAAGGCATTATGTCGTCGTGCTTTACATGTTCGGACTCATACAGTGAGTTTGAGGTTGCAGCATCCTGAGATTGAGCTTTTAACAGCCTTTGCTTACCCACAAGAATTACCTCAAAATTGTATAAAAATGTCAGAATGCACAGTTTGTTTATAGTGATTGTTTACAAACCACTGTAAAATGCAGTGATTTGATCACCTTGCCTTTTTGTATGCACACCTTTAATGCAGCACAAGTAAATAAAACTTAGTTTTCAGTTTTTTACCTTGAGGAACTGATCAGCTTCCTCTGAAGTTTGTATCTATTAATTTTTAGAAAGACAGTAGTTTTAGTTGAAAGCTAAAATGCATGTTTTTGTACCTGAATCTCCTGTTAAAGAGAGAGCCTCTGTAGTCTTGAATCAGTTGCCATTTTCAGACACAGCTTTATTTACTGAGTAGTGACTTCTGTGTGATTTGTCTCTGCTTCTTGCACTTTGGTCTGAAATCAAACCTCTTTGCAGCTTTACAGCAGAAAATCCTTCACAAATTTTATTCTGTACTTTGGTCAGGAGATATTATAATGTGACTCTGCTGTTTGAGAACTTTTAATATCAGATGCTAAACAATGCAGAAACTCCTCATCAGCTTCTATTTTCCCTCCAGCAATGCAGATTTCATACTTTGTTTTGTTTGCTGTTGGTTTCACCTTCAAGATCTGCCTCCGTGGGTTCTTTTAAATATTTGGGCATCCTGGGGGGAGGAAGAGAGTGGTGTTCTTGGGCTGTCAGTGTGGGTTTTGCTTTTCCTGAGGTGTGCAGTTGATCCTGTGCCTTCTCCCCCCCTGCTTCCACAAGGAGATTGTTTATAGTAGAAATTTGCTAGACTGTCAAATAGCTAAGAGTTTTTGTTAAAAAGAGACAACTTAACTGGGCAGGCTTTGGGGTCACTGTGTGACATCCTGTGGCTGAGGATACTGGATTTGGTAGTTCACAGTGAGTGGGGTTTGGTGCTGCAGCAATTCCCTGGTATTCCTGGTAGTGCAGCTGACCCTGGGCAGAGTTGTGGGTTCCAAATGTTTTTTATGTGCTCACAAGCTCCCATCTGCCCCTCCTGGCACTTCGGCCTTTGGCCCTCCCCAGGGAGGGAGCTGCCTCTGTCCCTCCCCTCCATCCAGACGAGCCGGGGTTTTTTTGGGAGCTGCTGCCCTCCAGCAGCTCTGGCAGGCAGGGGGGCTGCTCTCAAATCTGTCAGGGCAGGCTTCACTCATTCCAAACAAGCAGGAATTTAACAGAAGGCTTGGAAAGAAGAACAAAAAAGCCAACGCACCACAAAAAACACCCAACAAACAAAAGGAAAAAAATCCCAAACCAAAACGGCCAAAAACTACCCCAAACCACCACCACCAAAAAAAAAAAAAAAAAAAACCCAAATAAAGCAAAAGCTCAACCCAACCAAAACACCACCAACAACAAATAAACCAACTGTCTTCTGTCTGCTCAAGCACACTACCTAAAGATTCTTTTTCAAAAGGAAATCTTGACTACAGAAAGGAGCACTTGACAAAAGCCTTGTGACAAAGGCAGCACTTGTAATAAGGTTGCCCTAAAAATGAAATCGTTAAAAGTTGGTTTTATCTAAATTGTATTTTGTACATTAAAAAAAGAAAGTCTTACTACAAAATACTACAAATTTTCTTTTCAAGCCAATAGCATCTTTAACTGAAAATATTTTGCTGACTTTTAAATAAACAATTGTTAGATAGCAAAAGGCATATGAAATGTCCTGGGGGGTTTTGGATATGTTAGATATTACTATGGACAATTTTCAGTTCTGTAAAATATAAAATATGTGTGTAGCACTTTATGGTTGCCTTTTTGTAAAGGATCCATGAGTATATTTGCATTAGTTTAATCTTTTCACATGTATGCATGAATACATGGTTCATCCTGGTGTTAGATACTTGTGGAGATTATATATTTGATATGTGTATCTCTAAAAGTAATTATTTTAATATTACAGATTTAGAAATGGCCATTGCCTACTGGAATTTAGTACTTAATGGAAGATTTAAATTTCTAGACTTGTGGAACAAATTTTTGTTGGTAAGTTTAAACCTTTACATAATCTGGACTGCAGTATTTTCAGAACTTGGAAGATAAACATGTTTAAGTTATTGAGTAGATGCAATAGACTGTCTTGACCTAAATCCTAAACATAGTGTGTACAATAGAAATATGTTTTGGGGATATGGATGTGTTTGAGACAGTAAAAATGAATGTATAATAGGGTTTTAATTTATTTTTTTAAATATGAATTTTCCACCTCCCCAACAGGAACATCATAAAAGATCAATTCCTAAGGATACCTGGAACCTTCTTCTAGACTTTAGTACAATGATAGCAGATGACATGTCTAACTATGATGAGGAAGGTAAACATTGCCATCTTCCCTCATTAACTTCTAACTGTGTTTTATGTTTTGTGTATCTGCTTTGGCACAGTTTCAAAACTAGCTCCATTAGAATTAAGTTTAAACCTTTACATAATCTGGACTGCAGTATTTTCAGAACTTGGAAGATAAACATGTTTAAGTTATTGAGTAGATGCAATAGACTGTCTTGACCTAAATCCTAAACATAGTGTGTACAATAGAAATGTTTTGGGGATATGGATGTGTTTGAGACAGTAAAAATGAATGTATAATAGGGTTTTAATTTATTTTTTTAAATATGAATTTTCCACCTCCCCAACAGGAACATCATAAAAGATCAATTCCTAAGGATACCTGGAACCTTCTTCTAGACTTTAGTACAATGATAGCAGATGACATGTCTAACTATGATGAGGAAGGTAAACATTGCCATCTTCCCTCATTAACTTCTGTGTTTTATGTTACATTTATTACTGTGTATCTGCTTTGGCACAATTTCAAAACTAGCTCCATTAGAACATTTCTGGTGATCTGAAGTCCAGTTAGGGCTGCTTTAATGCACGTTGTAATCATATCTGTTACTAATGTTTTAAAAAAGAAATGCTTAAGCTTTCATGGAATCCATTTTCTTTTTTTGTTCTAAGCTCAGACACAAATTCTTTCTTACTGAGACAACCTCAAATTCTTTCTTATTGAGACAAACCCTGCTATATGTCCATTTAAAACCCACAGATTTTCTGTTGGTGCAGTTCTTGGCATCTTCGTCCCAGTAACTGATCCATGGTTTGTGCAGCTCTGTGTAGGGTCTTCTGGTTCCTGCATTTTGTAGCTGAGAATGTTTTTAAGTCTGGTTGCTTCAGTTTATGTGAGACTTGGACATGTTTTGACATAGAAGTGAAGCTGGCAGCACGCAGGGGTTTCTGAACAGAACTCACTTCCTACCAAATGTGTTTCTTGTAAACTTCTGTATTGATCTTTCCTCTTGCAGTCCCTGTGCAGCCAAGAACAGCTGATTACCCTCAGCCCTTGGCAGCACATCAGTTCAGTGAGGGGGAAACTGAGCCTGGGGTACCTCCAGAGCAGAGGGCAGCAAACTTCTCCAGCTTTATTTAGTAATTATGGACTGTCCTCATTCCCTCATCAGGTTTGAGTTAGGGTTTTGGTCAGTTTTTTGTTTTTGTCTGGAAGATGACCCTTGAAAATGATGTGTATTAACTGGCTTTAAAGGAAGCAGAAATCTTTAATCGGCTCTTAAATTTCAAGCAAGAAAATAAAATTGTATTTTTTAGCTTCGAACTCTGCCTAGTTTAATACTGGAAAGCAAATAGCTTGTCTGGATATGAAGCTTGTGAAAGAATGCCTTATTGAACCAAGTTCTTACGTTCTGGTGTTTTCCTCTTTTAGGGGCATGGCCAGTTCTTATTGATGACTTTGTGGAATTTGCACGCCCTCAAATTGCTGGGACAAAAAGTACAACAGTGTAGCACTAAAGGACCCTTCTAGAGTGTACATAGTCTGTACAATACCTGAAATGGAAAATTGCACAGTCAATTTCTGCTGGCTGGACTGAACTGAAGATCAATCCTCACAATATGGCTGAGGGTTGAGACAAACCTTTAAGGATACATCTTGGACCATATCATATTTCATTCTTCTACTGGTGGTTTGGGCTTTTCTTCTAGTCTGGACCACTCTTGCCCGTTAAAATTCCAACACTGTGGATTTCATCATGGATTTATTTTTTGTTGGTGGATCACCCTAGTTTCATCTCCCATAAGTCCTAGAAGCTTTATAATTATTTTGAGGTTTCTGATTTCACATAAAGCACAACGCTGGTCATCATCAGACAACTGTTGTATGGCATCTGAATTATACAGATCAACATCAAAACAATTTTTAAAAGAATCCTTAAATACACACTTGGGGCTAGTTGCAAAGACTGTACTGATAGCACTTCCTGCAAGAGTGATATATTTAAGTGTACTGGGTCCGAGTTTTTTCTTTTCTGGAAAAGTGCAGGTGTCTGAGCTTGAGTCTCTGGTCACAGCAGTGACAGGAATGACCCAGGAGCCCCAGGGCTGTTGATTGGAGGTCGCTGGTGCCTGGCTGAGGTTTGCTGGTGGCTCAGCTGCTCTGGGGACACCTTGGGGACGACTCAACTTGAGCACTTCCCCCCGTGGGCCATGGCAGAGCCCGCAGTGGGCCGAGCTGTGTCCTCACAGAAGCCAGCGTTCTCTAGGTTACTCTCTAAGAAATCAGATTTCATTACAGTTTTGAAATGCTTATCTGTTTGTCAAAGAAAGGTTTTTCATTTCTGTGGAAATCAAACACTTGAATATACTGAATTTGTGTCTTAACTGTTTGCTACACAATACAGTATTTTAAATTGAGACGTGACTTTTATGGCTGAGGTGTGACAAAGCAAATGGCCCTGTTGTACAAGAAGCTGGTGAGGTTGATGTGAATCTGGGTTTTGAAACCATTATCCTGGTAAGTTAAATCTTCATAACATAGAGGTACTGCCATTATGGATGACACCCTTTTTTAAATTATTTTGCTGAGTTTTCCTTAAATTGACGTATCACTGTGGTTGCCAAATACAGAAATTCAAAGTAAAGCTTTCCCAAACAAGCACAGATCAGATACAAACGACTCCACTGGCTTTGTTTGTTTAAATTATTTTGTTGATCATCACTACTTCTGTCCTGCTGCATTTGACTATAAATTGCTTCATTTGGATCAAAGCAGGTTTTATCAAATGCTATTCTTTAATAATACAAGAGCTCTTGAGCTGCTTTTATGGTCTTTTACTCCTCACTGAGTTACCTGTGAAGAGATGTGCTAAATCCTGCTCTGGAAAACAAGCTGGAAAGAAGGAGCTCCAGGAGAGGAGACAGACCATACTTACAAGTGAGAAGAGGGGGTTTAAGTCCATGCTCTAAATAGTGCCCTGATATGGCAAGAATTATTCTTGAGATGAGTCATTGGTACTTGGCACTAGACTGCAGCACGATTTTATGCAGATGCTGAAAGTATTTTAAAGAAAATTTGACTTAAACAGCTAAAATTTTTATTTGTACTCTGTGCAGTTGACCTTAAGGCTGGCTCCCCTTACAGCAGTGCCCTTTTGGCAAATCCAGTTGTGCATTTATTCCAAAAATACAATTCCTCAAAAACATTGCAGACTTTCTCCAGCTACTGGAATTGGCTCTGCCAAAAACTGTGTGTTTTGCTGCTTTCAGTATTTCCTTTCTCAGTTTTGTGTAAATAAAAATGGGGACTTGAAATTATGGGGTGGGTGGGGTGGAAAAAAAAAAAAGTCTCGACAAGGTTATCTCTGCGTGCTGTTTTCTGTCTTGAGGGTTTTGGTACTGTTTCAGATTGATTAGTTCAAGTATGCTGTGCTTGGAGAGCAGAACTGACTTGCTTTTCATCCCAGTGCAGACTTGTCCCTCAAAAAAGTCTGGGATTGGGCAATGGCAAAATGCTGTGGTGTTTTAGACTCTTCCTTTTGAATGCAAGATCTTTCCAACAAAATAGTGTTGTCATCAGTTTGGTACTACATGCTTATAATTACTGTGTAATTATAAAGAAATACATAAAAACTTTGACTAATTATGTTGCAGAAAAGGGTTATTTGTGCTATCATGGCATCTTAAGAGTTTTTCAAAATGACTGAAGTTGAAAAAAACATCATTGATTTAACAGGGTGTTGTTCTAAGGACAAAATGCCTGGTTACAGGGAATATTTTGTACTGAAATGTGCTCAGATGTGGCCATGTGGTTTTTTTCCTTTATATATGTGTGGGGTTGGGGGTTTTTTTTGGTGTTTTGGTTTTTTTTTGGTTTTGTTTTGTTTTTTGTTTGGTTTTTTTTTTTTTTTTTTTGTTTTTTTTTTTTTTTTTTTGTTTTGGTTTGGGTTTTGTTTTTTTTTTTTTGTTTTTTTTTTGTTTGTTTTTTAAGAATGCAGCCAGTTGCTTACTTGGATTGCTTGAATTCGTAAGTGCTTATGTCTTCAATTTGATGATCTCCCCGCAAATGGATTGATTTAATTTTGCCAAATGTCAAGGGAAAAAAAAAATGAAGGCAAACATCAAGTTTGTAAACTGTTTTTATACATTAAGATATGTACAAAATTAGAAGTGCCCTGATATAAAACACTTAATCTTGAGATTATATTTAGTAAAAACCCATCATTTACATATCTCTGTAAGTTCAAAATGTAACTTCTTACAATCCCTCTCATTACCAACAGAGGCAATAAAGCTCCAGTGAAATTGCCATGACTGAGGTTTGTACTGCATTGTTTCAGTGTATTATTTGTAAAATTTATTTCTGGAATGTGCTTTTAGGGAGTGGGCAAAAAACCCCAAACCGTGGAATACATGTGTTCTGCAAAAAATACGGTTCAGGGCAAGTCTTTCTTTTGGGTGGGAAAAAAAGAATCTAAAAACTGCTCCTCCACCTTGCCCCTTGCTTGTTCCCAATGTTTACAAGTCCCACCTGGAGCTGATTCTCCCAGCCCTGGGCAGGGCCCTGCCCCAGCTGGTGAAGGAAGACCCCTCACACTGCAGTGGCTCAGATAAGCCTCAAGTTCAGCAGTAAAGCCACTTCTTATTGATCAACCTGTTAATAAGTAACTTATGACTTGCCTCAAAACTGTTTTACAATGAAATCCGTACTGAGACATCCTTATTTAAGAAAGATATAAGTTTTTTAAAGAATGCATTTAATAAACTTTTGTCATTCACACTTTTATTTAAATTACGTTGCCAGAAGTCTCTGTAGATTTTATTTGAGGATGGTAAATTGTCTGGGTTGGCTTTTAAACAAAAAACAGTGATGCCCTTCAGGCCTCTGAGCTAACAGTTGACCACACCATTATAAATACTTGCTGTAATTGTAATTTCATCTATCAAAAATAGGCCTTAGCTTTATAAACATGGAGCTGGTTTAGTACCAACGTGTACTAAAGTAGAAGTATCTGCGTAAAATAAACACCAAGAGTTTTGCTCCTCAATAGGCACCTGTACCTCAGGCCCAAGTCTGACCATTTAAAGTGGTAGAAAACTCAAGACCCAGCTTCTGGAATTCTCAGTCAGCAAAAGCTGCCTAAATGCAATTTGAATGTTTTGCATGAAAACGCAGTTGTCTCTTTTCTAAACTCAGCTCTGTGTTTGTGCAATGTACCATTTCAAGCTTTTTTCAGTGTTCAGAGGACAACTGGCAGGAGTCAGGGATAAATCATCAAATCAGGGCAAGGAACCTGGGAGGGTGAGAGATGAGGGGGCTTTGAGAATTGTGTGGGGAGAGGCCCAGGTTTGTTATCTTTGTCTTGCTAGTGATTTCTCTCCAGCCCTGCTCCTGACTGGTCCAGGGCCAGGGTGGAGCAAGCCTGGCTTTGCTCTGCCATCTTTTCCTCTACCAGTTACATAATTAAAACAATGACTCAGCTAGAAGTGAAAATTTTATTTAATAAATATAATTTTCATAAACCATTTTCAAAACAACTACTGACCAAGCTGTACAAGGAACAAGCACACGGCCTCGCTGTCAAAGGAGCAAAAATAACATGAGGCAGCCACAGTGTCAGAGGTCCAAAATTCTTTGTATTACTTATTGCTCATTTCCAGTGGGCAACACCCCTAATCTAAATCTGCCTAAAATTAAGGATCAACAGCTTTTAAAAGGTACTTCTTGCAGAGATTAAACCATTCCAGTTTTTTCCTTCAAAGAAGCAACCTCAGTCCTTCAGTGAAAAAGCAGGAGTCTAGATGATGATTTGTTATTTTTGTATGCTTAAAACCTGAAATCTGTCATGGGGACTGCAACTAGGAATTGTAAAAATAAATATATTCTCTGAGATAAAAACGACGATCCTCCTGGAGCAAGGTGCGCCTCATTTTTTACCATTTTCAACTGCATGCTCCACAGACCATCTTTTACCCTGTGGTCAAAATGTAAAAAGGGTGAGAACCTGCTGCAGTTTGAAGTAATTTCCTTGAAAACCGCTGAGGAGAGATGAATAAAGCCCCAGGGCACGGGGCCAGGGTCTGTTCCAGCCCAGCCTCGCTCTGTGCCTCCGGGCGCGGCGCCTTTCCGTCCGCAGAGCTCTTCCCCCCTGGAGCCCGGAGCGGGCCCAGCCGCAGCCGGGCGGTGACAACAGCAACGTCCCCGAAGGAGCAGCGGCGGCCGTGGCAGCGCACACGGCTCTGAGCCAGTCCCGACGCCTTTGGAGCAGCACTGAGCTGAAGGGAGAGAGAAATCCATAGAGAGCAGGAGCCTGGCACATCCCCGGCCCCGCTCCTGCTCCGGACCCAGGCGTTCCCAGAGCAGAAACCAAACCGTGCCACGCGGAACAAACAACAGAAGCAAGGAACGTGCGAAAAAACCAACCATAACAACATCAGCAGAAAAAAATCCCAGCCCAGAGCTGCAAAGGAGAGAGTCTGGCTGGGAAATAATTTAGGAACAGGATAAAGGTTAAAATGAGGCCCTGGTGAAAGGTTTGCCCAGCTCTAGGAATGGCTCCTTTAACCAGTGACATCTGTGTAACAAGCTGTGTAAAAAAGCAGTGGTGAGGGCAGTGGCAATGGTGAGGTATTAGGGATTCTACACCCAAAAAAAAAAAAAACAAAAAAACTCAAAATAAGTGGTTCAAAACCACATTTGCTTGAGCACTTTGGAAGACTGAATTTCACCCCAATCACAGCTATTTAGAAGTACAGCAATAGCAGATAGAACTATGAGAAATAATTTAGACTGCAGCTTTGAGACACTTCTAGCACTAGAAATTTATATTTTATTCCTATAAGAAATTATAGGTGCTTAATATGCATTCTAATTTGCATAAGCTTTCCTCAAATCTTTCTAAAAATGAAAAACCCAAGTTTTCAGCATTCCTTCCTTTGAAGCTTTTGTTCCCCCTTCCCTGCTGTAATCTTAAAAAATACAGAGTATTTTAAAGCAGAATATTTACATTTTAGTTTTTGAACCAATTCAGAACATCTCAGGTTTTTTCCACTGCATCCTCTTAAAATTTAGCATGAGTTTGGCAATTAGAATTGTTTTCCTAAGTAACAAAACCAAACCCTGTTTTTCCCAGAGGCAGAAGTGACCTGCAGAGAACACAATCCCATGGAGAAGGTGCTTTCTCAGGGACCCTTATTAGTAAAGTGAGTGCACGCTACTCTTGCTTTGAGCTACAAACATCTGCTACAGGCTTTTATGGATTTCAAGGCTAAAAGGTAAATAACAAAACTTCTCCTCCCCATGGCAAAGCCTCCCCCACCCGTTCACATTCGCACTGGGAGGTGAATGCCAGCATTACACTGGATTTTAGCTGGATTTTTCAGTTTCCCTCATGAAGGACTCTGTACTGTGCCCAGGGCACAGTGAACTGGCTCCTACATTTCAGCTATCAAAATACACTAAGTCTTTCATCCTTGAATAGGAGCATTTTTAAAAGATTTGTGATATCAACACAAAACCCCAGTGACTTCCACACAAAATATTCGTCACACCAAAAAATCTGTCCTTAAGCAACCCACATCTATGCCCTTACTCAATGAGACATTACTGAGTTAGATTTACTGCAAATAGAAAAATATACCTTGGCCGAGGGATGGATTCTTAAGTCCTTCCTGAATTGTTTAAATGCAAGTTTCTTCGGTAACCTTACAAACACTGGGAAAAGGGAAAGCAGGGGGAAAGGGAGGAGAGGAGATGGAAGGTTTTAAAGAAACACATAATGAGCGCAAATTATTCTTCAAATACACGACTGTGCTGCTTTTGTGCAAATCTACTCAACACACTGGTGTGGTAAGAGCCAAAATACATCACCTACAGAGCTGGGCCAGGGGAAATGCTTGGAGTGGGGGTTTTGGCAAAGCCTCTGCTCCCCTCACCCAAGGAACCGTCCGGCTCAGGGCAGGACACACGAACCACACGGACGGATGAGGGCACACGGTCACACACACTGACAGGACAATGCTGTGCCTGGCACGGACAAACAAGCACTGCTGAAAGGTGAAACACTGTGGCTGAGGTGTAAAACACAGCTAAACAGCAGATATCTGATTAGAGTAGTAAAATCAGTCTCTATTTCCTAGGTATCCATGGCAGCATGAAGACTCCTAGGAAAAGAAACTACTAGGAAGAAAATTACTATTTTAAACCCAGGTTTAAGATAGATATGAAATATAAAGGAAGTTATACAAGTTGGTGAAAATAGTATTTTGCCACTATTGCAGATCTGGAAGACTGGATGGATGGCAATCGGGTTATTGCCTCTCCAGCTGGATCCAGGTTTTCAGCCCCATGCAGTGGGATTAGTCACATGTTCATACCTGCTGCATGAGAAGATGAGGCTCAATTTTAGTGTTTCTTCATCCCCTGGGCACTCGCTGGGGGGATCTAGTGCACACTGACATTTTCAACCTGAAGCTTCACTGCACTCAGGCATCTGAAGACACGATACAGAAATGCACTATGAACGCTGAATTAAACACTTATTTAAAAGGAAAGTTTACTATATTTTTTCCTTCTTCTTGTCTCATAATTTATTTCAAAAGCTTAATTTCTGAACTAATTCTCACCTGTAACAGTGGGAAAAATCCTTGCATTCTGCAAGTTCAAATCACTAGAAATTTAACAACAAAATTGCAATGATAATTTCTTTCCTACACAGATGTTGCCTTGAGCACTGAGATCTTGTAAACTCCATGGTACCTGCAGCCTTCATTCAGGTCTGAGAGAAGCTGCCAGGCACTAATGCAGAAACAAAGCTCCAAGAGGAGAGCTGAAATAATCCCAGTTAAAGTCACGGGCAGGAAAATGAACAGCAGAGCTGTTTATAGGTAAGGAACATCTGAAGGATGTGATCCCAGGAAAGCAGGGAGAGCTGAAATAATCCCAGTTAAAGTCACGGGCAGGAAAATGAACAGCAGAGCTGTTTATAGGTGATCCCAGGAAAGCAAGACCTGTTCCTTTGCTCACTGAACTTGGGAGAATTTGGGATGACAAGAGGGATGCATTCCCCTGGCAGCAGCCCAGTTACAGTCAGCCAGGTTTGCAGCAGCCCAGATTTAGAGTTTTTACCCAGAGCTAATTTAAGATGGATCTTTACACTCTTAACTGTCCGACAGGATGAGTATCCCAGTTATTGATGGGATGTCACTGTCAGAGGTGACAAAAGGGGGTGTCCTGGAGCAGCAGCACTTTTCCCAGTCCCCAGCCATGAACAGCTCCGTTCTAAGGCACCCTTGCAGCACCTCCACTTCATCTCCCACGTCCTGGGACAAGCAGTGGGTTCAGCCACCCTGGCTGAGGGAACAGTGAAATGTTGCTGCTCGCCAGCCCCCACCATGCAGACAGGTCTGTACTGGGACAGGGGAGGCACCTGCAGGATGCACCACCCAGAGCTCCAACTGTGCAATTTGTTTTTATTGGCATACTTAGGTATCAAAACATTGCCATCAAGGTCTCGGATCCTTCCGATAAACGAAAATAATTAAGCAATCATTATATCTTCAAAGTACAACGTGACCGAATATAAATACATGAAAAAGAACAAAACATGCAAAAATTCCCCAACTTTAAAAGGATTAATAATTCAAAAATTTATGCTAGTGATACTGCTGCTCAATCCACCAATTCTTAGCAAATTTTTCCATGTCAGGATCCAGAACTGTTAACAAAACATACAGGGCATAATAAAAGATGACTAGTTTCTGAATTGTATTTCAGGAGAACAGTGAGCTGTTATATCCCTTATTATTCCAAATTACTGGTTTGTCACAGTTAACAGTGTTTTTCAAAGCAATGGCTAATATATTAGCCACTCATGCACTAGCACAAATATTTGAATTGCATTTAACTCTCAAAAATTACTAAACTGATTGCTTATAGAATACAGTAACTGTCCACAGAAGTAACAAAATTGATTTGCAAACTGCTAAGACAGCATCTGCAAGACAGCTCAAAATGAATGTGTGTTTAAAAGGAAGGGTCATCATTAAAAACACAACTTTGAAAAGTATAATTGTGGAGATTCAAATTGGATCACTCAAATTTGGGAGGAGAAAGATTTCTGTCATTGCCCTACAGGGACATCTCCAGTATTAAATGTAGGATTCCAATCTGCTCATACAGCAACAAAAAGGATCAAATGGTCAGAGGTAAAAGCATTCCTTAAAAAAACCCCAAAAAACCAAAAACTTATTTAGCAATTTGTAGATAAAAACTAGAAAAAATCCTGGAAGCAACTGCTGTGCAGATTTTGCCAGGCCAGACAAGCCCTGCCTGGACTCAGGAGTCCTCTGGGCTTTCCTAGGGCAGCGCCGGACACTGAGCTCGCCTCAGCACCTGCTACAGGTGTGTGAGCACCACACGGCTTCCACAAGGCATTCAAAAATGTCCCTGTCAGCAAGTGGCTGAGTCCATTGTGGAGAGAGTCAAGATGCTCCTGTCGTTGGCATAGAAGGGATCCGATGAACTCCATGATCTAAAGTAACAATAAAAGAAAAGTTTGGCTGACTGGGAACTTGGACTTGTACTGGGAGGTGAGGAGAAAAGTCTATGAGAGCAAAAGACAGAAGTGTTACAAGAGCAGGTAAATTTAAAGGACTAATCTACTAATTTCATGTAGGTACCTGCAGTTCATTCAGACCTTTGGAAACAGAGGCCAAGTCATGCCTGCTGTGTAATTAGCACACAGCTACAGCTATTTCCATCACTATAAATTAAAACAACCAGAGGTTTTTATGCCTATTTTGCAGCTAAGTTTCAGTGCTGTGCCTTGGGAGGCTGTGAATGCTGCCTGTGCACAGAGGCACTGTGAGGCTGCTCCAGCAGAGCCCTGTGGAGCACACAGCCAACCCTGGGAACCTGGCACAGCCGTGTCCCATCCACACTGCCTGAGCCTGGGGGAGGCAAAGCTTATCTACAGCCAGGAACCTGCTTCATCCCTTCCTGTTTCACTTCAAAACATCAGGGAACCACCTCAGACGTCACAGCTGCTGACTCAGAGGGGTCTCACTGTGTCTTTCACTTGAGGACAAATTACTGCTTGGGAAGAAATACTGTTCTTGGCAGCACAGCATTGTAGGACTGTATGGGAAAAGCTGAAGAAGTTTGGAAGGCAGGAAATCAAAACACAACAAGCTTATCCTCCAAATCAGGCTCTGTCAGAAATCTGCTGTTTCTTTAGAACTGTTCCATCCAGTGCCTTGACACAAGAACCACTAATGGGAGACCCCACAATACTGTACAAGTGATGTATGTGATCCAGCATTCTTAATATTTTAGTGACTGACAAGTTGACAGACAATTTAATGGAACAGACAGACAAAATGCATTTTAACATACCACACCACACATTTTATATTCTAACTGACTAATGAAGCTATAGAAAATACTTCTCACATACATTTTACAAGCAGTAAATTAAGCACAAGAGACTATATTCCTGTGGCCCACTACTCCAAGCATTTGTATGACTTTGATTCATCAAAGTTTTTATCAAAATTTGATACAAGGTTTGATTTCATGTTATCATATTTGACAGAATATTGTATTTGACAGAATATCAGGAGCAGAGAATACAACACAAGCTGCCTACAGCAAAGTTATTTAAAATAGTGCTCGTCATTCTACAGCACTTGCACAAACAACATATTCATCAGCATCACTTCAATCAACAAAAATAATTTGCAGCTACTTCCTGGTTGAATACTTAGCTGTTTTATAGAGGACAAGTACTCAAAAGACCATCCTGTTGGGGACTGCACAATCTTCTGGAGATTTAGATAAAAAACAAAGCAGCTCACAGTCATGAACAAAGCCTAAACAATTTTTAAATCACCCAATAGTTTTCTTAATTGTATCTTTGGCATTTCGCAACTTGTAACTGCTTCATGTGATTTAAGCAATTAGTAATTTTTGAAAAATGAATCAGAACTTTCTCATACTAGCAAAAAAGTATAAGGGAGAAAATGGTCCCTTGGCTTATTTAGACCAGGCTGTCATAACTGAGTGGAAGGAGCTGAAATCATTGGAGAAAAAAAATATTACTGACTTTAAAAAAAAAAATCTCTTTTCAATTTGTACTGTACATAAATTTAAGTGAAACTAGAAGATTGTTCAGAGCAATTTCAACCAGAGGCAGATGCAAAACCCACAGAACTTCAAGCCCTTAGTGTAGCACCAAGATAGTTTTGCATATTCATTGAACTTAATCCTAATTTCTGTGTTCTAAGAACTCTAAAATAATTTGGCTAGATGGAACTTCATCTGAAAACTACATGAGGTAAGCAGAAAAGAAACCTAACAAAAAGCAGTCTTGAAAAAAGTGTTTAATATTCTGTCAAATACAAGTTAGCTTCAATAAGTATTTTTAAGTTCTTAAGGAAAGAAAATTTGAGTGGAACAAAGAGAAAATTGTAAAGCTGCAAATACATTGCAGAAAACAAAACACAGAATACCTACCTTATAAGAAGACTACAGGTTACTAAGGCAATTGTTAACTAACAACCTGCCCTAATTAGATAACAATAAGTGAAACAAACTAGCATGAGAAATTCCTCATTTGGAAAGCACAGTTTTACAGAGAGGTGAAAAAAAAACCCCAGAAAAGTTAGAGCAACTGCTAGCAAAATGTTGATTTTTATACCAATTAAATGCTCACCTTGTAGATTAAAAATTCTATTAAACTGTTTATTTTACACATCATGCCCGCTTTCTACACAGCAAGTTTGAATTAAAAATTTACTTAATAGTAACAGTTCATTTTTCATATGGAATGAAACTTCTTGCATACTCATACCCTAGATTTGTAGAAACATTGAATAAATTTCATAAGCAAGCCAGAAGAGAGAGACTGACTGAAAGCACAGACACCGTGTTCAACACAAGAGTTCCAACAGAGATGAGCTACAGACCAGGCAATACCTAAAGGCAGAATCAGAGCTGACAAAGCTGTCAGGGTAAATTACCCACACGAGATTTGATACCCAATGAATGATATCACAACCTTTAACTGAAAGAGACAAAGTTCTTCAAATACAAAATGAGTTTCCTTGAAAACGTGTGAAATTCAGTGTTTTCAGGTTTGCCTTTTGACCAATGAAGGACCATGATATCATTCAGGGACAGAGATTACGATGTACAAAAGACTATTTTTACTTCTACCCCCAAATATTTCCATATTTATTTGCTATCCCTCTTTGTTTGGAAATGGGGAGATGGCACATGAGAGGATTCAGTGAGAGCTCCTCTCCCAGCTGGGCTGACTGCAAGAGCAGTGTTGCTCTGCAGACATGTTCAATTACTCAACATGCTTTCACCCCACTGACGTTTGTTTCACACGTGGTTTGTGAAGGAAAGATTTATTTAGCACATATTTTGGAATGGCACACATGATTTTGACAATATACCTTCTGGAACCCAAAAAACATTGAAAATTCTTAGAACCTGAAGACTCTGTTCTGTCAATCACTCTGATTTTAGAAATAGATTATAAAAGTTATACTACAAAAATATTTCATCTTCTTATCAATCAATGGCTGAAAGATTTAAAGGCTCTCCTCCTAACAATGAAGTTAGATTTAAGGGGGGCAATGTGAGCCTTTTGCATACCTTCAGAAGTAATGCAAGCTCCAAGGTAAATATTTGGAGGTTGTACATCAAGAACCCAAGGGAAAAGTCTTTCGACTTTACAAACAACTCCTGATTTGTGAAGGCAAAAAAGTAATCATAAAAAGGAGAACAAAAACAGGAGCAAGGCTTGATTTTCTGAAGAGAAGAACGTACAAATCAAGAGAAATTACGATAGATACAACACAAGAGCTTGTAAAGCCAAACTAAACACTTTAACAGAAATCTTTCGAAAACTGTTTTTCCCCTCCCCATCCCAAAAGAAACCACTCAAAAAGAAACAAGAAGCTAATCTTTTAGGATGAAAAAAGTACAATAAAGAGTTGCATTTTCTACTTAGATAAGCAAAACCTGCAGCTGGTTTCTAGACATCTATTGCTGCAGGCTCATCGGGTTCCAGTTTATAGGAGAATCGTCTGCAGCAAAGGCTATTGAGAGAAATGCCACACCTGTTGACCCGGCTGGGGCTACACCTTCCCATTAGTCGTTCCAGCATTCTTCTAACAGATGTGCATGCTGTTTCCCCATCTGAGAAGCAGCACATGGAGTCCAAGCAGTTGATACCTGAACCTGCCTCAGTAAGCTGGAAAGAAAAAGAAAATAAAAAAGAAAGAAGAAAAAAAGAAAAATCAGTACTCACAAATTTTAGCAATGAAGATGTTACCAAAAAAAACACTTCGGAAAAGCAGGTTTTCTTAGCTAGAGTGTTGAATATTTTCCAATTTTATAGGAGAACTACAATAATAATATTACCACTCCCTAAGGTCTACATACACTAAAATTTGTTCTTCCCAAGGTTTGATTGCAGCCTTGTTGAGTGCATGGAAATGGTCTGGCACCGCATCTGCCTAACCCTGGAAATGAACTGCTCAGGAACTCCCTCCACCAAACCCCACAGCAGAGCACATGCACTTCCAGCTGGGATGCCTTGGTTTACCTACAACAATTTATATCAGCTCAGTCCTATTTTAAGGGAAATTTATCAAGACAAAGCTTCAGGCTGCAGAATACAACACAGTAACCGGGTCCCAAGTAATTCTTCCTCAAGCACACAATGCAACTTCCTAGAATAATTGACATTATATCACTCCCATAGATACCCTTGGCTTGGTACAGAACAAAAGCACATTCCTGATTTTGTGAACATGGTTCATCCAAAAGCAAACAAGGCTGATGTCAGAAAGGTTCAGTCATGTTCATGCCAGCATGAAGAATAATTCAGCATTAGCATAATAAACTCTTTCAAAGCTCATGGTTTGTAGGTGAGGAAAAAAAGGAATAAAAGAAATAAAATGAAAAGAAAGCAGCAACAGATGTATGGGTGTAAGTGCCACCTACCAGTGTGCTCCTCTACAGCACTGCTGCACCAACTGCAGCATAACTGGAATCTCCTGCTTCTGCAGAGAGAATATCCTAAACTGACTTCAGTACCATTCTAAAGAGAAATAAAAATGTGAAGTGTGGGGATGCTTTTTAATTTAATTTTAAACTCTCCATGAGAGCATCCTGTCAAACAAATACTAGACACAGAGGCTGAACTTTACCCTTTCCTCACACCAGGAGAAAGAAGAATTCTGGGAGGAGGCATCTTAGTCCATGACAGGACACAACTCACTTAAGACCTTCCCACAACTTTTCACTGTGACACTAAAGGTCACTGACTGTTGTCTGAAGATTCTACTTTTGAGCCCAAATTTATTCCATGCCACCCACAGTTGCCAAAAACTGCAAGGAAAGCAAAGAACCTCAAGAGTTCCCTATGAGAACAGTTTACTATGAGTAGACACACTCTCCTTCCTAATCCCCCAAACAGGCAGCTGGACACATTTAGAGCTTCACAACAGAACAGCCTACACAACAAAGAAGAGGCAGCTAACAGAAACAGGAGGCTTTTGGAAATACAAGAGAAAAATCTCAGCTGGTAGGACAAGGAGGAACACACACAGAGGCGGTGTTTGTTTCCATGCACCTTTTCCTGTGCCTGCCCCTTCCTCAGCCCTGTGCCATGTTCCCCACTGCCCCTCCAGACCTTCCCATCACAGCACTCGTTGTGATGTTCACAGAACTGTCACTCAGCAGCTGTTGGAATGTACAGGATTGTACATTCCTGATCCTGTGGATGCTGCATCTCAGAGGCCGTGGCCGAGTTCAGGCAGAACACGCTTTAACTCACACACTCATCTGGGGGGTCTTTGGGACACAGAAGGAACATTTACTGTGACAATGAACTTCTGTACCTGAGAGGCAGGAGCAGAAGATTTGCAAGTGACATGTTGAAAAGGGTTCTGGTTAAAAGACAAACAAAACAAAACACATCTCAACAGAGCCTGAACACCCTCATGTGAAGACCACCATGACTGGTCCCAGCTGCAGTGCCACAGAAGATACCAGAATCAGGAACTGCACACTTTGCAGCACTGCAGTACCAGCAAATGTGACCTTCAGAGCCACATCAGACTGTGCTCCCAGAATTGTGACACAAGAGATTACACAGAGTAGAAGGAATTCCCATTTGGAGGTCAGCAGGCAAACCCCCTGCTGCAGATGGCGTGACCTTCACAGCTGTGGCCACAGCAATACAAAACTGAAACATTCCAACACTCAGGATTTCAGACAGAGTATTTAGTTCATCCAATATGCTCAAGCAGACCTTTAAATTTACTGCAGAAAGTCACATTATAGTGGCTGTATGCTGGATCAGATGAACCAGAGCATTTTTTTCCTTAGAATCTGTTACCCTGAGAGCCAGGAGTCCTGGATATTATCCAAAGACTACCAGAAAGAGGAACCAAGATAACTCAAACCAGCTTCCAAGGAGCAAACCCTCAACTCTGGATTTCGGACGTCTAATGTCTCTTTTTTTGGAGAATCTCCTTTTTCTTCACAAGTTAGATACAAAAAGCAAGGATCATGCTTGAACTACAACCTCTGGAAAAGTTACTATTACTTTTTTAAAAAATGGCAAATGAGACCTTATATAAGTCTGGAAACAACAATTCTTTTCTGTTAAACTCACAGTTAAGTGTAAAGAAATGCTGTGAGAACATTAAGGATAAACAATCTAACTAGATATATTGTTTATCACTGCCTGGTGAAAATGGATTTTTCTATTCCCACTACCTGTAAGGAAGATACATATGATAGAGTCCCTTTTCTCACTTTCTCTCTGTAGAGGACAATTATAGTCATAATTTTATACCAAAGTAAAACCTGGCATGGCAAGGCAGGAAGGCATAATGTTCCCTGAAGACCTGAAACAAACTCTCACGAAACACAAGGCAGGAGAGACAATGCTTTAAAAAAATTAATGAGTATAGAGAAATACCAGGCATTATTAATATTTGGGTGGCAAACAAAGTATGTTCATAAGGTGAGATTTGGAATCTCAATAAACATAATACTTCATATGAGAATGGCCCATTGGATGTAATAAATCAAAAAGCAACTGAGGAGCAGAATTAAAGAATGATTCAGCTTGATTAAGAAAAAAAAAATCAAACCAACATTCTATGATGCAATTTTTCTTGTAGATACCAAAAATATGAGTATTTTGGAGATGGCTCAATGACTGTCTCTGTATGATATATGTAAATAAATACACACACATTAGGGTACAGTGGGAGTACTACCTAGTGGAGGTAAGAACTGTCGGGCAGGCAAGATGGGTCTAGCAGCTGCCTACTGTCCTCCCCTCTGTGCCTGCTTTCAGCAAAGTCACATGCTGAGCTGACTGAACCCTTATCTTCTTCCATCTGGAAGGACAGAAAAGCAACAGATCTTATAAAGCACCATGCTTGCATTGCTTTAAAACAGTTACCATTGTTACAAGAACTTTCACAGGTCTGGTCTTGAGAGAACAAGGCAATTTACAAGGTCAAGAGGCAATTTTTATTTTTGGTGGATCAAATGCGGTTTCTCAGCACCAAAGTTTGGCCTTTTTGTGCTCTATAGACCAAACAAATTTGGAATCTATCTAAAATTCTTAGAGATTCTGAAGTTTTATTTGTTTTCCCCCATCCAACAGAAAGAACCATTTCAGTTTGTTTGTCTTACTGCAGGTTATTCCATATGCCACAAGACACACATTTCAACCCAAGATTTAATCACACTGAAAAGTTGGGACTTCGAGGGATGGGGAATGTGTTTAATCCTGTACACCAAGTTAAGAGCACTGCAGGGTACTCTCCTGAGCCCAGATCCCAGCTGCCAACATTCTGATTCCACAATTAAGTTAAAACTTGCTCCCTACTGTAGATCTCACCATCTTTAACCTTTAATATACTGTATACAAAAATCCCAAACAATTGGATTTAAAATTTTTAAAGAAAACATACAGGAATGTTGACATCTAACAACTTCACTCCTTTTTCTACTCTTTGTATCAAATTAACCTGCAAGTGCCAAATCATTTCATTATTTCCAAGTCATTAGACAAAGGTTTCTTCAGGTAAGTAGTATGTGCACTTTTGTGACTGAAGTCAAACACAAAATGGTGCATTCTTCCCTCATTTCCTCATCTTCCTGTGATTGATTCTGTGGATTAGCCAACAGATCAACACCAAGCTTTACTAACACAATGAGCAGGTCTGTAAAGGAAGAAATCACCCTTGATCCAAGTGCAGCACATCAGGGGGGTCTGGCACACTTCGCTAGTGGGAATTCATGCTTCCACTGGGACAGTTTTCTTGGAAATTGCACGTTCCTTACAGAAAACATAGGCTGTAAAAGGAACAGAAACCTCTCTGCTCTCGACTCGACACAGCTGGGCTGGGTCAGACCTGAAAGCTGCAGGGGGGGAATCCTATGGAACAGGAGCTAGAGCTGAAAATACAGACAAGGAATGAAGGCCTTAAAGGCAGGGCCTGGAGCTCTGGAGACAGCTAAAGAGCAGATCTGGACAGAGATGAAGGGAAAACCAGGCAACAACTGACTCATGAGGCTGGAGATGGGGAAAGAACAGGTTTTGGCTCTGACAAGGTAAATGCTCCAGAGCCCTGGATATAACACTGTGCACTGACAGCCTTCTCTGTAAATAAAACTCTTTCTGGTGTCTTACATTTCCCCAGTTCTGGGTACAGTTCATAACACACTGTCCAAAGGCAGAAACTCTGTAAACACAATTAATCCCATCAGCAAGTAGAATTAAAGCATCTGTCCAAGCAACACTTCTCAAATGTGACTTAAGATTTCTGACAGTTCTTACAAAGCACAGGACATGTAGACATACATGCACACAGAACACTTTCTTTACAGATAAAAACATGGAATGAGATATAGTGGGACCCAGTTAGCACCCGAAGGTACCTATTTCACACATTCCAAGAACAGGAGAGACACCTATGAAGGAAAGCAGTGCTCAGCCACACTCCAGCTAGCACACCTGCACCTGCCTGTGCTGCCTCATTTCCTCTTCATCCCACGCTCTAAAAGGGACAGTAAAGTTCAGAGGCAAGACTTTAACAGGCACACACAAGAGGGCAGTTCTGACTTACAGGAGTCACCTGGACACTTAGAAGATCCCCTCAAAGATCTTAACTGTACATCACCAATGTACTCAATACAAATGTGAACATTTTTGCACACTGTGAAGCCTACAGAAATAAAAAAAAATATTGTAACATCATACTTCTCTTTAATTTGCATTCATCAAGAAGTCATCTTTTGATCTCAAGAGAAGAGTAAGCATTTTGGCAGCACAAGGCATAACTCAGTTTAACCTGCAGTTATGCTCTTTTTGAGACTCTTAATACATATTTACAAACAACAAAAACCTGCCAAAGTCTGTTCATCAACCTCCATGCATTCTGCAGTCACAAAGGATGCAGTCCCTGGGTGGGCATGTACAAATGAGGTGTGACAGATTAGCTGCTTTACAGCTATGTATTTCATCAGGCAGCTGTTTTGTTTCATGCTCCTACAGTTTTCCTTGCCCTATTGCTTTGGGAAAACCACAGAAACCAACTCACGCTCTTCACTCCAAATTAGATTTTATTTAGTATAGTGAAGTGAGTAGTTTCTGTCTATCAATCGATTTTCCTTTTCACTGTTTTACGCAAGGATCCACAGGATAACTTCTGAACTTTGCCCAAAGACAGAATAAAGAACTAGAGAAACCCGAACCTTTGTTTGCTTCTTGCTGCACTTCACAAGTGCAACTGCACATCAGAAAGCAGCCAGTGCTCGTACTTCAGGTACAAGCAGATACTCAAGTGCAAAAATTCTGACTTACAAGAGAATTGGATTTGCATAATCATTTGTTACTCATGGACAAAACACATTTCCTCCTTTTTCCAACCCTTCCTTATGTTGCTAAGTTTAACAGCTTTCACAACTATACTGTACTTTGCCTGTTTTAAAGCTATTAAGTGCTGAATGCAAAACAAAACAAAATTAAACCAGCCCACCACTATCCCCCTGGGTGTTTGGAAATCCAAGGTGTTGTGTTCCACACTGGGGTCACTAACACCACAACACAATGGCTATTTCAAGTTTTGCCTTGTAAAGTTGTAGTGCACTCTCAGAGGAAATACGAATCTTTTCTCTTTTGGTTTAACAAACAGCAATTAAGTCCCTAAAATGTAGGTTAGTTGTTACTCCTAGGCACCTATTTGCACATTTTTAACAACAAAGTCACCTTGAAAAATATTTAAAAGTAATCAGAGCTTTGCATTAATTCTTGCTGTAGGATGTGCAATTACAGATTGAGACATTGCTGATACATATGAATGCTTAAGTCTTACAAAAGAGAATCAGCATTTGACAACATTTCATGGGCTGATCTCAGTGCATTTGAAGAGCTGCAGAATCATGTTTTACCTACACAGACACATGTATGCTTTGATCTTGTTTTGAATAATTTTCTGGGACTTTGTAGCCAAATGCCTTTAGGAATATGTATCTGTACACATTGAAAACAAACAACACTCACTTTATAGCTGCACAAAACAGACACAAAAAGCCTCAGCTGCACAAGGGTATGGATGCACCCAAGCTTCAAACATTATCTGCTCTTTTGACACAATTGAAAGCAAATTAAAATGGGCAAATAACTTGCAAGAAATTGCTGCCTAAAGTATATGGATCTTCTCCTGTCACAGCCTTATAAAGCTGAAATTATCCAGCATGCAAATGCACTGTTAATTTTTATCATAAAGAAACCAAAAGCATTATAACCATGCTAGAAACTACGATTATTTAAAAATGGATGCAAGAACAGCTGATCTTTATTCTGGAAGTTGAACATCATGCTAGGGATGTTTTTTCCTTAAAAGAAAAAAAAAAGCACGTCCAACACATGCTACTTAGGAGAAGCATTTGGCTCGGAAACACAGAGCAAAGCCAAGAAATCACCAAACGGAATGTTTCTGCACTACACGTATTGCCCTCTCACCCCACTAATATATATTCATGCCTCTTCCCATCTCTCTCAGCACTGGTTAGTTCACCTTGAGCATGCATAAGAGTTGATGAGGAACTGTCCCTCCTACTCTACCTAATTTTGCTCAGCTGATTCCTTGCCCTGGACAATGGCTGCAGTGCGATGAACTCGTCACTTAAAGCAACTCTGTTGGAGTACATCTACAATTGGACAGAGAAGGGATGGAACATACATGTCAGTAAGTAGCAGCAGTAATTTTCTAAGAGAAAGACACAGGACAACACATTGTTATTTAACTGGAATACACGTCATATACAGAACACAAGCCTGGTACCTTCAAGACAGCTCCTGGGACCATCACAGCCAGTCACTGTTTGGCAGGACCATTCTTAAAGCACCTTTGCTTTCATACTGAGAGAAAAGGCCTACATGCTTTTACATCTGTGCTTTACCAGACACCTTTATTCTGTCTTGCTTTCTCCTCTCAACAGTGCTATGATTTATCTTCCGCAAAGATTTATACTTTGATTCACATTTCCTTTACTGTCCAATTCCTCCTGTATGATTTTGTAACAGATGTATATTGAGAAACTGCCACAAGCTACTTCAGGGCAACTGACCTCATGGCTTTTCTTTAGGCCAGCAAAAAACCCCTGAAACGTAGCAAAACTAAAATAAAACACAGTAACACACATTCACCTTAACTGCATTAAGGACCATAAAGTTAACCAAGCTCATCCTCTATAAAAGTCAACTTGCTTGCCTGTCAAATTTTTAATTTTTAGTTTCCCAGAATAAATGACTGAGATTTAAGTTCCTGTGTAAGAAAAATATTTACATTTAAAAGCCTACCAATTGTCTCTCTCATATCATTTAAACTTCTCTGCTCTCTTATGAAAAACTTAAACTTAGCTACATGTAACATCTAACAGATCAGAGGCAAACTCACAAGTGATGCTATCACCTTATACTAACAAAAAGATATAAAATCAAGGTAAGGCAGATTCCTACAGATATAATGAATTCAGAGCACTAAGGTATAAGTCACACACAAAAAAGTTCTCAAAAATTAAAACAACAGGGGCAAACAGTTTCAGCTGAGAAATGTGTGTTTTCCTCATTGCTCCCGGGATTAGTTTAGAATTTAAATGATGGCAGGCAGAAACAAATAACCTAAAAAGCTGCAATTTAGAAACAAGGAACTAGGGCATGTAACAATTTATCTTGCCATAATAAACACTGTAACTATAAACCAAGCTTCTTCTTTCCCCCAATATGAAAATATACCTACGTAGTCCTACAATTAAAAATTAATAATTAAACATGTTCAGTTATACAGAGGGTGCACCTACACAATGAAAAATAATTTTAAAGGACAATACACAAAGTTCCATATTTATTCTTTCAATGACTTCCACAGAATTCATTAGCATCAGTCATCATCCTTAGCATTTAGGACAAAGATATTCTCCAAATTCTTTCTATCTGAAAGTCAGTCTCTTCCTCTGCTTGGAAACAGAAAGAAAAATATTTACGAGGAATTTTAAACACAAATTATGAGGTATGATCATAAAAGAAGCATTCTGTCACCTCTTGACAACAGATGTGCTAAGCTGATCATCTGCTCCTCTTCAGTTTTATCCACTTCCCCACTGCAAGAACAGTCAATGAAATCCAGTGGAGCTGACTGTCCATTACAGCAGGAAAATCTCAACAGATTAAACCTCAAGAAAGGAAAAAAGAGGTGCCTTCTTTTTGCAAATACATTTGTAGCTATAATTTCACTATCAGATTCACAAAGAGAAACCACTGGATGGCTGCTGAAGAACTTCTGGTCGAACCCCATTTCAGATACCTTGACTTTGCAGCACCAAGAATTAAGAATTTTCAGAGAAAAGACAGTATTTTGGTAAACACAGGCCTCAGTGCTGACTCTGTCAAATGCAAAGTAGAAAGCAAATAAAGAAAAAGAAAGAAGATAGCTAATAAAGATGCACAAAGCAAAATCCCCATGGCCAGGAATCAAGATATAGCTACAGGAAAGGCGTTAGAGATTCGTAAAGATTCCTTCTTAAAAATAAGAAGTCCTACTGTGTCTTTGCACAGCTGTAATGGCATTAAACAGAACCAAAAAAATCTTTAGAAAGGAGTCATAAAGCAAGAGAATGTAGCAAGAAGAATAAGGATAAAGGCAGGAAAATTCACATGGCTTTTAGGGTTTCAATTCAAGCACTTCAAGAACATGAAAAACCTCAAGAGCCACACCAGTACCGTGCTACACAGCAACAGGTGATGCACAGCAAGGAAGGAAAGAGTGTTTGATAAATACTAACACTAGTTTTTGAAGAGAGAAAAAAAGGTAGGTAAGTAGCATTGCCTACAGACACTCTACCCCAAGAAGGGCAGTAATGTGCAATCCCGAGCCTTAGCAGCTCTATCTGAACAGTCTTACGGAAGCCAGTGGTTATTTGCTTTGGCTTTAGCTACTGAATTCCAAGACAGGAAAAAGCAGCCAATATTCCAATTTCTGAAAGGGACTAGTGGGATATTCTGGCTAGCAGCAGGCTTGTCAGCATGATGCTGATCCTAGGCAAATGAATAGAAGGCCTCACATGGATTTTTTTTTTTTTACACACATATTAAAAGGGTAATATAATTTAAGTAAATCAACGTGCACTTGCATCAAAGTAATTACAAGGTTAGATGCTAAAGATAGCAGCACTGATGCAGTGCAGTCAGCAGTTCTGCATGGCACAGAGCTCAGTGCCACTTGCATTAAGCAATTAGGACACCACGAAATCCATCTGTCACACAGGTGGACAGAAAGCTGCTGCCAGGTTTTGGACAATAACTGCTCATGGGATATCTCTGTCAGCTGGGTTCTTCACACACTTTCACTATTTTTGGCCCTATGCTAATTGACCTCTCATCAATGCCCTGAAAGAAATCAACATCACCACCTGTAGATGTGTAGAAGATGCAGAAGACAACAGGTTATGTGTTATTCTGTAATCTGAAAGTAGCTGGAAACTCATTATTTCCATACTTGGCACTGATGTCTGCTGTACTGGAATATTGAGTCCACTGGTGATATCCAAAATTCAAGACAAAGTTGAAGAAGGGTGAAAATCAGAGGAGAAATACAAGAATGATGAGAAGACTCTAAAACAATCTTTTTGACTGAAGATGCAAGTCCAATCTACCTATCAGTGCTAAAATTAGCTTGTTCACAAAGCTAACTGAATAAAACAAGAACTGTAACAGAGACCTTCTCAGTTTAGCAGAAGTATAAAAATATAAATTTTTATATAAAAATATATATAAAAATATAAAACCAGAGAGACAGTTACTATTAGAACAATAGGCCACGATGACTTCTCCATAACTGTCTCTACAAAGATGAAAGCACTCAAAGATATTTACCTAAAAGACAGTCTAATCTCAGCAGAATGATTTAAATGATTTTTTTTTGTAGGCTGTATCAGGCAGAAGGGAGATTCCATTACCATAGCATAACTTTAGACCTTTTCTATCAATCTCTGAAACCGCCACATAGGTAATTAGTTTTAATTACAGAACAAATAATCAAATGCATAGCACATGAAATGACTGAGATTTAAGAAATACTAAATAAAGCAAGTTTTACTAAAGTAATTTTTACAATTATTATTTCCATCACATTTTCAGAACTATTCAGTGCTAATTAGAGCAGTAGCTTCTAATACTTCTTAATACCTAGACAAAAAGTAAGTTACCATCTATAAAGCAGTACAAAAATGAGCAGTATGATCCTTTCATACAGCTGCAAGCTGAGATGCAAAAGACTCAAATAATTCTATTCTTTTTATTACCAATTACTAAACATAAACATTACTGCCTTGTAAAATCTTGTCCTCACTTTCATAATTTTAAATTAACAAGTGTATTTCGAAATGAGAACACTTGTCTGCACTAAACATGACAGCAATGTAAGAGGGTAACTATTGGTCAAGTTGGATAAAAAAGCATAACATTACCTGAGCTTTTTCAGTACTTGATGGTTGCAGATGTCTGTACAGCACTTTCTTCACAACATCAATAAACAAACAAGCAACTACTATGAGGATTATGGCAAACCAAGCAGAACCACTTGACAACAGTTGAACAAATACAAAGTACATGTCCTGGGTATGTAAAAATGGCCTGAAAAGTTAAAAGAAGTGGCAATTACTAAAAAGGATTTCTAGGAATAAAAGTACAGCCCAGGTTGTCTCAAGTGTATCTTTTTTTACATCAAGCAGAGAGACTCAGGATGCAGAGTCACAAGTGCACCATGTCCACATGAAGTCCAGCAACCTGTTGGACCTGACCTGCCAATGAGCCCCTCCAGGGAATGGGGGTACTGAACTTTGGAGGAAAAGGTTTTGATTTAGTTTTAAATTGTGCTGCAGAGAATCAATCTCTTCTCTCAGACTCTATCTCTCCAGACTCCAAATTACAAGCAAAAATACTTCACTTTACTGATTCAAACCCCAGCATCTTTATTTCTGTTGCAATTATTCACCTATTACATACATAGCACCTCTGGGAGCCTATTTACTTCTTAAAATGCCGTTGTAGTTACAGGCTGTCAGAGACAGATACTGTGTGTCCTTGAGCACAGGACAGCACAGCAGTGCTTCTTAAATTATTCAAAGAATCACCAAAAGCAAGTGGCCAGTCTAGATTTAAAACCTTTTTATCACAAACTTGTCACAAAATACAGAGCAAGATGGTAGAACATAATATTTCAATGTTTTTTAGCTTCATCAATATTACATGTGAAAAAAGGGGGGGGGGGGGGGGGGAATCACTTACCAGATAATTCCCCCATAAAACAAGGAGAATATGAAATAAAATACAATGGATCCCCAAGTAACAAAATGGTTTATCCATGTCCAGAAGTGAGTTTCTAGTGCCATCTAAAACAGAGATAATTTCAGTGAGCTTCTGCTTTCCACCCACTTCACAGAAAATGATAAATACCAGTTAGAACACACTTATGAACTCCCAGCCCAAACATTAAATATTGTTGTAACACACAAAAACTAAAGAAAAATTTTAACCACTGTTGAAATGAAACATAGAAGTCACTTATCTGGAACCCTCAAGAAGCAGTAACTTTGGAATAAATTTTAAACTACTGCTTTATTACATATTTGCCTACACATCCAAACCCAAAGAGGAGTCAGTGTGATATCATACCTTCATCGTAACAGTTATAACCATAACGGTGAAGACCAAAGTACCAAATGTCCAGTTTCCAAACATCTAAGAAAATGGCAAGGCAAAAATCATGGAAGAAAAAACCATCAGTTAAGAGCATTCACAGTAAGTTAAATTCTTCTCAAGTCAGCTACACTAAAGAAATAAGACATAAGCTTGTGACAAGTAATTGTTATGAAAAAAGGAAGGAGGATACAACACAAACTACTAGAAAAAATAGAGGTTATGATAAGAGCATAATTAACAACCCCCAAGTCATCTTTCTTCTCAGTTCAAAACAAACCACCACAAAGGCTACATGAAATATGAAAAAAAAAATAAAGGCCAAAAAGTAATATGAAATGATAGGGAAATGAAGACACTAATTTGATCAATTCATTATAAGCGTCCAATAGAAAAGAAATACTGGGTGGAAGGTATTCACTTTAAGTGCAAAACACTTTTGAGTTTAAATACTTCCAGATAATTTTAAACATGCAGCATCAAATGAAGGTTCACTTTTAACCCCAAGCACAATTATACAATTCAAAAATAATGGTGCCATTGTACTTTACTAAGAAAATTCTAAGGAAAAGACACTTTGTTTCAAGGCTAATAAACATAAAATTAAGCTCTGATTCTGAAACACTGAAATCTGTCACTTTTGTTTTCTCTTGTGCCCATAAATTAAACGATCAAAACTCTGAACAAGGTCTACAACAATAAAATCTCAGCTCTGACAATCAAGCAGGGATGCTGAGGTTGTATCTATCTACACACATGCTACTCAGGGCTGCCATTCTACACCAGGTCCAGCCTGGAACTGGCTGGGAGATTACAGGGGAGATGTGGCTGTTTCACAGCTGGTTTTGCCACTGGCAAACTGAACAATGAACAAATCCTCAACTCTGTGTTTACTGGTAAGCAAGCAAGGAGGAAGGTACCACATGCAGACAGGCAACCAGAGTCATCCTAGAGCTGATGTGTCAGTACAGCACAGGGGCACAGAACTGGGATTCACACAGTTGTAGTTCTTGTTGCAGAGCTCTGACAAAAAATCCCAACAGCCTGAGGACAGATCTCACAACTGCTTCTCTCATCTACACATAAGGTATAAAATGGAGGCAGCCATGAGTCTGGATTTACTGATCATTTTAAAGATCTTTGTGATAACATCCCTTCTTGAAGCCTTGGATTTACTTGTCCCACCAACAGTAATGGTTAACAAGTAACATGCTTGTTGTTAACTGCTGCAATATTCATCTTAAAAGTAAAATTAAACTTCTCCTGAGTGACCTGTGAAAGAAAGTGTCTTTGCTAACACTGCTTTCAATGGTCACAGAGTTAGAATGCAAAACACAAACAGGTTCTTGCCACCATTTTATTTTTGAACACATTTACACTGTGGATGTTGCATCCTTTAATCCTATGAAGTAACAGATACAATATTTTGTATCTCCTCCTCTTCTAAACTCTTACCATTTGCCTGTTAGGTTTCAATATCTGACGACATGCACAGCATGAAAAAGGGGGGAGAAAAAAGAACTAAAAGATCAAGTTGTTGCACAATGTGTTGAGGTAAGCCTAACAAAGCACCAGCATTAACAAATTATTTACAGTCTCTTCTATTCTGCTGTGCTCTGAACTGAGAACTTGGAATGGAAACTTGAGGCCTTGCACTAACACTACCCTGTACCACAGATCTATACAGGTTATCACTTCTTGAGGACTTAAGAAAGCACTTCAGCAGCACACAAAATCCTCTTGCCCTTAATTTTGGCTTTTCCAGGCACATATTAAATTTGCAAGAAACTATGCAATGCAGATATTCCACTGCAACACAGTTCTACCAGTTCTAATCAACATCTTTTAGCAAAGATAAGAGAAGCAGAGTAACTAAAACCCAGAAAAGTCTTAGAATTTATTTGAAGTCATATCACATAAGAAGCTAAAGGGCAGCTGCCAATTCCCCAAACCAAACAGTTGTTACTAAATACAGTGGGAGAAGTCTCTTCCTGCCCCATGGACATTTACTAAGCAATTTTGAAGTGAGGTGCTTTGACAACTGAAGACGGATGCACCACACACACTGATTCATGGTCTAAAATTACCTCATTACAAGAGTCCTGAAGGACCTTTACTGGCTCACAAGAATTTAAAATCCCACAGCTTGTAACAAATGACAAGAGAGGACACCCTCATGCCTCAGCTGGAAATAGACACTTTAGTCTAAAGCACAACTATTTTAATATTCTTACCAAACATCTGATGATGGAACTGGTGCTCCAGGTGGCTGCACCACTCCCCCTTCACTGCTCCTCCCTCTGCACCAGCTCTGCCTGCAGCCCCTCAGGACCATTCTGTTCCCTGGCTGAACATCACTGCATTTCTGACTAAACTTCCTGAGCTCACACCCACTCCCTGGCACCAGGTGACACTGGGAATTCAGCAGGATGCTGCTTTTGTCCCTTATGCCCTAACTTGCAACTCTGCCAAGCACTATGAGAATTGGCAAGTTCTTCATGCCAGTATTAAGTATGGCATAATGAGAAGGAAGTGTATTTTTCCATTACTACCCACATTTAACAAGGGATCTAATTGTTTTAAATTGACTTAAGTAACTCAGAACCAAGGGAAATAAGGAAACAGACTTGTAATGGTTTTGTTCAAGCTGTAGACTTTTTTGTAAATTATTCTTCCTGTGAAGTTTAACATCTTTAAAAGTGTCAAATTAGTGTATGATGATTTCATTAAGGTATGGCCTTAAAAACACTTACTGAATAAATAGCATAATTTAAAAGCAGCTCGCACCACTAAATTTTGAAAAATTCAGAGTAATTAAAATAATATTTTCAGGAGAAGCTTTAAGATTTTTGTCAACTTTCATCCTAACTTTATAATGGTTACTTGAAGAGAAGCCATTGCTTCTCTTGCATGACATTGCAATTAAGTCCAATTCAAAATGAGCTTTGAATGAATGAATATAAATTCTCATTTGCTGACATTATGAAATAGGATTTTGACAAAACAGTTTATGAAATACAACAAAGTTTAAGACAATAATGATACATCTATTATCTTGAAAGATATGTTCTTCAGGGACATATGCTTTCTGACAACACCCTACAATTTCCATGCTAAGAAATGTTACTCTTGAGAGCACACACAAATACTGACAAAGAATCTTTGATAATTGTAGTTCTTGAAAACAAAATTTTTTGGACACAGGAGGATTTTTCAAAAAAGCATTAAGAAATACCAACAAAAATACAGTGGTAGAATAACACTTATGATACTGTACCTGGCCATTTCCCAGCAGAGAAGTGTCTTCTCCCATTAGAAGATACGAGCCATAAAAGAAAACAAATGCATGAAAGAAGCCCAAGATGGTCCAGTAAAGAAATGGTTTAAACCCCAGATGGGCATTTTTACTGATGTCTCTGCAGAAATAAAACAGATTTTGGATTTCATACTGTCCATAACCATCAGCTATACACACTGCATGACTGCTACTGCTTTGAATAAATGTAACTCTCGACTGCACCAAGACACATTAAACAAATGCTGACTTATAAAAAAAATACATAAGTCATGGGCAAAAAAAGAACCCTGAGCCGTCAAGATTTGGCTCTGCTTTAAGGAGAGGTCACCAATGGCCAGGATCTCTAAGGGTCAAATTCAGAATAGCACAAACTAGAATTGTTGTCCCTGGAGATGAAACTGCGAGAGGAAGAAAAAGCCAGATCTCCTGATACTTACCCCTTGCTCTGCTTAAAAGACCTTTACAAAAAGAGAACCATCTGAGAGAAGACATCTCTGTTTTATGAAAATACCTCTTTTTTTCTCCAAAAAGTATGCAGTGCAACATGCTACCACTGGGAGGACATCTAATTCTACAGGAAATCACTTCTCCTCTTAGAAAAGGATTTTTTGTGGTGATTCCCCTAATCATGGTGTCCTAGTTTTTCATTCTCCTTGTCTGAGTGATTTTCATCTCCTACATGTAATGGAGGAGAAGGATGCCAATCATGTAAGCTGACCAAGTGCTCATGGTTGACATAAAAAGACACTTCTCTTAAAATATTCCTTTTAATTCACTATTAGGATGAGAATTATGTAGCTTCAATTCTTCCTCAAGATAGTTACTAAAAATGCCTAAATTACAGATAATTATTGTAGGAAGTTCAGAGTTGTGCAGATGCCACTGCTGCTGTGCAATTTGTGCCTCTGTGGGAACTGATGCAGGACATACATACCTGTAGAGCACAGGTTTACTCTGCAATACATGCGGGTGCACATGCTGCTCAAAAAGACTGTAGATGAGGACAGGCAGGGAAGTGAAACAAATATTGTACAAAGTCAGGTATACACTGTCATAGAGCGTCTGCAAATGAAAGCAAAAAGCATTTTATGCCTTGGAATTGATAAAGATTTATTAGCACGCTTATAGCAGCATTGATTGATCAGTTACATTAATTGGCTAGTTAGGAAAACAGCTGCACTCACACAACAATCCAATAACATCAGCTATCAAATACAGAAAAAGGAGCTGGGTATTTGCTAAGTGTAACATCTCTACTGCTCCTTGTGCCACCCTCCTATTTTATCAATTATGGACCTCAAGTGTTTCACAGACAAAATGACAGGCATGCAATACTTACTTGTTGTGAAAACAAACAGAAGAACTGATATAAAAATTGTGGTGTAATAAAGCACACATTCTGAAATAAAGAGAAATTAAGGAAATAGTTAATCCTTCGTACATGCCCCACAGCCCTAAAAAATTACTACCTCTTAGAAGCTGCTAAAAATACACATGGAGCGCATGAAGCCTTTCAGCATTTTACTTGGCAAAGTAAAGCAAGATGCTTGTCTTGAGAGGATATTTTGTTTGTTTTTCCTTTGGGACAATGAACCTGAAAAGTATGAGCTTTACTGTATGTGCTTGATGAGCACATCTCACTACAAGAGTCTAAGTAGTAATTAAGTGGAAGAAATCCATTCATTTTCCCATTCAGCTTCTTTTTAAGAATTTCTTTGCAGAATAGTTTCCACATTTTATTCAATAAAGCTGTGCCGTGCTCATGTGAGTTTGTTGCATGGAAGCAAACAAAGAAGAAACCAAAATATAACACCATGCTATTGCCATTAAATGAAAGAAAACAACTTCAAAAGGGACTTGGGAGCCAAAGCTGAAATCCCAGATAAAATTCAATAAAGATAGTGAGTTTTGACTTGTTATGAAAACTGATGAACAAGTGAAAAAAACCAAAAGCATTTCAACCAAACAAACAAAACCCCTGCCTTGAGAAAACAAATATATCAGCCTCTCAGTCTACACAAACTCACTGCAGTATTTAAAGCCTATTTCTAGGTGGAAAGACTGAACAACTTCACAGTTAAACTACTGCATTTGGTTGTAAAAGATAAAACAGCCCAGAAAACATGTTTAAACAGAGATATTTAACCTGATGCCAACAAAAGTCTCAGATCTGAAATAAATTTCTTGCTGGGAAAAAAACTCACCTTATAAAAAAAGTACTGTACAAGGGTTGCTATTCTAATATAGTAAAAGTGCCCATGAACAAAAAGCAACTTGGAGAGGAATTTAAACCGTGCTATTGCATAGTCACTGTTTCTTACAGCTTGCCTTCCTTCCTTGCCCATGATTCCTGTAATGTTTGGAAAACAAAACACAAAACAGGTCAAATATAACAAAAACCGAAGTTTAAAAAGCCCAACACCATACATCTGAAGCTACAGCTCTGTTTTCCTCACTTCAACACTAAGGACTTTAGCAGTGTTGCAAAGGAAGATATTCCTCACACTTACAGCTAAAGGAAGCTGCTCATCTGATGCTGATTCAAATAAAGAAGCCCCAACTGGTGGAGACAGAAGGAAGTTACCTATGCCAACATGTGCCTCCTGGATCATGCTCACATCATTAGCACCATCTCCGATCGCTAACGTTATGGGCTTCTCCGGAGAGGTTTTTAACAGTCGAACCACCTGGAAAAGGAAAATGAAACACTTTCAGATTACACACTCTACTTACAAACCATGTCACCAATTCCCAAGTATCTCAGTTAGCAGCCTATCTGTAGATATAATTAATATGTTTTATGAACATGCATGTTTGGGTAAAAAAACATCTTTGCATACATTAATTCCTTCTTTAGAAAAGCTGCCTGTTTTGGAGCACAAGCCTGATTTAAATATGGTATCTGCCTTGAGCCTATTTTCCTGTTCTTATTTCAATGTTCTGTTACAACTCTTAGTTTGGTGCTTTATCATACAAAACGAAGTCAAGTAAAATTTAAAACTGAAAATTCACTTACAGAATAATACAGATTTAATTCCCTTTAATAAACCCAGATTCTTCATATTTATAATTAATGGAACTAATCAAGGTGAAAGAAGAATTTGAAAAAGCAAATGCATTAGCTAAAAGATCAATGTGCTGTTATTAAGAAAATAGCTTCTTTCTAAAGCAACTTCATTATCATCAAGGGGCATCCTCAACTGACAAAGAAACAGAAGAAGAAATGACAGAATGAGGGAAAAAACGGTTGACGCGCAAAGCCCTAAAATCCTCAGAAGAGGAGCAGTGACAACAGATCTTCAATACAAGTGTCAATAATATTCTAAATACAAAGGAGTTAGTTAGATGAGGCTTTTGGTTAAGGAGAATTAGTGACTCATTAACCTCCCACAGAGCCCTAGCTGAAGGTAGAAGCTTCACTAATTCAGTTGTAAGTGGGCTGCGGGCAAAGGTATCATCACAGATCAAGAGGTTTTCCAGAACCAAGGAAATAAATATGTATGAAAAAACATTTCTCCCCTCTAGTTCCAGAAACCCTAAAGTGGAAATATCAATGGAGCAACTGTTTAACTGAAGTTAAACAGACACAAAAAACTGCACTGGAGTAATTTGTGCCTGGCAGCGTCAGGACATTGAGTCACAGAAGTGGAAATTCACACAAGGAGCACAACAGTAATTAAACAAAGTCCACAGGTCAGAGAAATCCACCTGATTGTGGGAATACATTCCCTAATTGCAGGTATTAATATTCAAGTCTAAAGGGTCCCCATTTCTAAGGGGTAATTATTTCAAACACATTTGGTATTAGATCCTAGGAAGCAACCTTAGAGAGGTAACAAGGCTGCAGAACATCACCCAGATCAGTCCTCTTGAGACCCCCAAGGCCTGGGTAATTTGGACAGGCAAACATCTATGTGAAAAGGTCAAGACAAATCCTTTAGCAAATGTTAACAGCAGCAGTTCCAAATGACTGAAATGATGATGTTTAAACAAGGTTTTGAGTCATAAAACATACCAAAATTAGTAGTGAGACAACTAACCAAACATTAACATGCATTATAATTAAAGATGCAGGAAGTAATAAGCTGAGTTCCAGCTTAATCTTAGAATAAAGCTCACAAAAAGGTTGCCTACTGCAAAAAATAATGTGCAAGACTAGACTAAACTGCTCTGCACTTCCGTCCCTACCCCTCAAGCTGTATGGCATTTGTCTTGGTGATTTATATACTTCAATATTTGAAATTAAAAATTCACTGCAATTAAAATTATATTTTGCTGTACTTCATGACTCAAGACAGGAAATAATCTCCATTATCTGCTGGTGAGGAAAAGAATTAAGGAAAGCAGTACAAAACATTATAAATCAAGTTAAATGACAAAATAAGAACAAGGACATGACACTGACAAATAACTGCACATTAAAGAGACAGGATGATAAAAATTTCAGCTAAAAGAATGTAGAGTTGATATATGCAACAAATTGGTTTACTCAGTGTAACTAAGCTGCAACTTCCTTTCAACATTTCACTGAAACTAATGCTATATCAAGTGAACAGTTCTATACTGAAGTGATTCTAAAGACTGCATGAGAACTCTGGAATGAAGAATGACCTGCTAACAGGTCACTCCTGTTACAGTAAAACAGCCTGCCTCTTGAACATCTAATACCTCACAGAAGGGTTTCCTAGTGCTTTAAAGTAAAGAGATGTCTTTTCATGAAGAGAAATTTTCAAAAGTAAAGAATCTTATAGACCCTCAGAACTTAGCATTCTGGAGTTAAAAAAAAAGATAAAAATCACAAAATCTGAATTTGAATCTTATCCAACACGTATTTGAATAAAATTCAGTATATGTGAATGAAAAATTATAGTCGAAGAGAGCATTAAGGCAAACCTTTCCTGGAGACTAGGCCTTGCCTTCCCTTCTACTTCTTCCTCAAACTTGGGTATTTTTAAAGTATTTACAGAAGCACAGTTTCTCCTAACAGGTTCATGAATTTTCAATTTAGTTTTTCTGGTTTGGAGAAGTGATGGAGCAGCTAAGGCAAAACTATGCAGGAGATTGGGAGAGCTACTGCCTTACTGAACACCCAAGAGGCAGAATAAAGATGAGCTTGGTGGCAGTATTTTGATTTCTCCATCCACTTACAAATTTTCAAACACACATGTAGAAACTTCTGAGTGAACTACTCTAGATGTGAATTTAACAAGGATTCAGAGGTCACAAAAAAGGTCAGCCAAACAAACAAAGCAGTTTCAGACATCCTTGCCTCCTCAAAGCATGACAAAAATACTTCAAAGGCAATCCTGACTATATTCTCACCTTTGCTTTCTGAAGGGGTGCCATGCGACAGCATAACACTGCAGAACAGTTTTTGCAAACTTCCATGAACAGCTTTTCATGTTCCCTGAGTGCAAGAGAGAGGCTGGTCCCATCCACAACCAGTCCATGCTGGATAACATGGTCTTCCTTTATTCTATTTGGGCACAAAAATATTGTACCAGTGTTAACAGTAAAATTCCAATTTTGCTATAAAGTATGTTGTCAGCCAGACAATAAGCAAAGGAGTTAATCTGTCAGACAGATTACTTCTTCCAGTCTGTTATGATATTAATAAATAATTTTTATGAGAACTTTTTTGTTTTGGCAGGTGCATCAAAGAGACTGCCGTAAAATTTAAAAATGAAAGCAACCCAAGCTAAGATAGCTGAGATAGTGACTTCTCAGGTATTTTACCTCTTGGCTAGCTGCCTCAGCTGTTCTGCACAGGTACTGTCTGACTTGTGCTGCACAAGCTCAAGGATGTTCATGGTTCTGTGAAAGTGTCCACAGGATAAGCTGACACTAACAGCTGTTTCGTGCTTGTCTCCAGTGAGCACCCACACTTTGATACCAGCCAGCCTGAGGGCTTCTATAGTTTCTTGGACTTTCTCCTGCAGTCTAGAAACAAGAAAAATCTTAAATAACCAACTGAACACTTCACAAATAAAAACTCATACTCATGGAGCTCATACTGTAACTCCATGCTACCACTGTAACCTGTCATGGTGAGTTAAGTCTGCCTTTCCAATGTTACATGTATTTTCAGAGAATCATAGTCTGGCAAATGATATTCTGTTACCAGCAACAAAACAAAGGTCTTGATGAAACAAAAACTAAACTTCAATCCTTCTAAGGGATCAAAAATTTGTAGGAAGCATACCTTGTTTTAAGCTAGGCACTGTTACCTCATTTGAGAAGCTTTAAAGCAGTCCACAATAATTCTTGGCTACTATGGTGCAAGAAAAGCTTCTCAAGCCCCATGTGCTCACTTCAGTGTACAACACACCCTGTGACATACAGAGCACAAGTAGAATGCTTTACAAAGGAGCTGTGTGTAGAAGCTTTCCTAAGGAATATGCTGTTCCATGAAATATTTGCTGCAACTATTCCATTCCACATACATGACATCTCTCCTGATGAAACACACTGTACATCACCGTTATTAAGACAGAATCAGTTGGTACAAGTTTTGTTTTGAATCTGCATCAATCCAAAGATAAATATACTAAAGAAGAACAAAACTTTTGGTCACAGTGGGAGAGCTTTTCACACTTCATATTTCAAGTATAATCCTAAACTCGCTGGGTTTGAGCGCAGATAGCAGTAAATCCATGGCATACTTGTCTTCTACTCCTGTAGCCCCAAGTAACTCCAGATCCCTTTCTATGAAGTTGAACACATCTGCTAATCTCTCTTCCCGCTGCTGTAAGGCAGTCCTGGCCTCATGAAGGCGTTTGCCAATTTCTTGGTACTCCTCAGGTGTGAATCTTCTGTAGGCCACACACAAAGTTCTTAGGCCTTTCTGCAAGAAAATAAAAGACCACATTCAGAGCAGACAAGTTTCTGATAAAACAAGTACGTGTCACCAGCAATTTTTTCACTTCAAGTCACAACTTATACTGCACAAATTTTCTTCTGATCAGCTGAGGCTGGGAGTTGGGCAAACCTATACACTTACCAAAGCAAATTCATCCACATGTATCCTTGTTTTATCTATTTCTCCACTCTTACTACGAGGAAGAATGGAAGATTCTGCTCCCTTTGTGAATAAAAGCTTCTCCCCTAGAAAATGAAATAGAACTGAAATTAAAAATAATGTTGTTCAAAAAGTTCTCAAGTGCTGCTTGTGCAATTTCTGATCACATACCTGAAGGACTCTCTACAATGACACTCATTCGTCTGCGATTTGGATCAAACTCCAAAACATGAAGCAATTTATACCTGCATTTTGCGTTTTAAAGGAGGGAACAGGGAGAAAACATTTTTAGAAATAAATTTCCAAAGACAATTACTTATAGAGTCTTACACCACAGACCTTTCCTCAAAGTGTTATTTTTGTATAGAAACTCTGAAAGCAATGATACCACTGCTGAACAACAATCACTGTTCATTGCTTTTTATGAATTTATATATGCTTAATTCCATTCTGTAAGAATAAAAGGTTCTTCTACCAACAGAAATAGCTTTCTGAATAGTAACTTGACATTTGGCAATTACAAGCAGCTCCCATCTATTTCTTCATCCTTCTGTCGTTACTTCAAGTATAACTTTGAAAACTACATTTTGTTTCTGACAAATTTGTAAAAAATCTAGACTGTCAAAAAAGTGTGTGTGCCCTGGTAAGTAGATTCATTTTTGTTGTTACCACTAGCTTAGCAAATTAATTTTAGACATTTAAATTCAAAGTACTGCCAACTAGCTGACACAGATCAAATGAGTAAAAGGAGTTATGGAATACTGCACATATACAGTTATTAATAATTTGTACTCATTTTAGAAAAGTTTAAAATATCTGATTAGATTATGCACAAACGAGACTGATTCTGGGAATTTCAAGAGCTGAAACAAGACTTGAATAAGCAATTCAGTTTTCCAACTCTGCTACAGTCTCAACCTTTGAGGAATGGGCAAAGATACAAACTGTTACAACACACACCTACAACAGAGTAACTCACACAAAATTCTTGCATCTCAGCTACAATTGGTAAGGAATAAGATGCAAGCTGTCTTGAAGACATCAAGGGAAAAGCATTAAACAGAGCACGCTGTGGAAAGGCAAGGTTTGCTTATGAACAAAGAGGATTAAGAGGAGAACATTACATTAATCTTCACTACTGTTCTAGCCATCAGAATAACCAAGGAAAAAAAACAAATACCTCTCTGGTTTTCCAAGACTTTTTACTTCCATACTGTCTCCACTAATTCCAGTAAATACTACTCCAACCCTAAAAGTAAAGAAAATATACATTTAATTATCACTTTAGACAAAATGCCTATTAATGGAGGGAGTGGAAGATGGCAGGGAAGAAAAGGAGAGACTCTTACACCCCATTACTGTACTCTGCTTCGAAGGAAAACGAAGAATGCCAATTTCTGCAGTATTTTATTCACATCATACTCTGACCACTGTAATTTCTCAAGTATTTTAATGAATATTTCAAATCATCACATTACAATACACCCAGGGGTTTGTGTATTTTACATTTGAATGTTTTCCCAGTAAGGTGACAGTGCCAGGTGCTGGTGTTCACCAGTGTCCTGAGCCATTTGTAAGGCTGCCCTTGCAGACAATTCCTGTGTCAGACAGCCCTGGCAGTGCTGCTCACCGGCTCGCAGCTTCCACCAAAGCCTTCTCATCAGGGGAAGAAGCATAATATTCCAGGGGGGATGTTATTCCATTGGCATGCCAGGGACCATCAGCACCATCTGTCTGATCTGCATTGATCTGCACTGTATGACACAGACAAACTGCTTTCAAGAAGAGCTCTTCCTCTTTCACCTAGAAGAAAGAAAAAACTTGATTTGTAGCATTTACATATCAACCCAGTTTTGAACACACTTAAGGAAGAAGCATTTCATGTTAAATAATCCCATCTCAACATGTTTAATAAATATTATTTGTTCAGTGACACTTGAAAGCTTCAAACTATTCAGAAATTCTGATTTATGTTTGGGTTGGACTTTTTTTTAAGCTAATGGTACAAGAATATATCTCTGAAATAAAACACTTTCAAACTAGGATGACTAATGGTGGGAAAACCAAAGAGTCTTACCAAACCATGCCTATTTCCATCTGGAGAATCTTCAGAAAATCCCTCTGGAGTTAGTTTACCATTGACCTCTTGGTACTTTATGCCATTAATAGAGCACTCCCGAAACTGCATCTCATTTTCAGTTAATGTACCAGTTTTGTCTGTAAACACATATTCTACCTTTTGTAAAATAAAACAAAAAAACAAACTTGGAATTGCATGTACTTGTTAGAAGAAAAAAGATACAATAATCTCCACTCAGACTTTCTATCACACAGATTTTTTTAATCATATAAGAATTTTAACTTCTGCCATCAGGTCTTTATACCTTATTTTAAAATTAATCAGAAATCGTATCACAAGTAATAAAAAGCCCACAGTAACAAATTTTAATATTAAAAACTAAGTAGAAAATAGGTGAAAAAAACCCAACATACAACATATTTTTTACCTGTCCCAATTCTTCATTGAGGTCTGAAGTATTTACTTGTGCTCTCTGGTTTGTTTCTTCATGATAGAGGTCAAGATCCCAGCCAATAAAAAATGATCCAAGAAATTTCTGCATCTCAACAGTCACATAGAGTGAAATAGGTATAATAAAATTGTAAAGTACCAGAAAAGCAAGAAAATCTGAAATAAATCTCAGGATCTGCAAAAGAAAAAAAGAAAAAGTGAAGACTACCACAGTGGTCAGGTGAAACATGGTGACTTAATTATGCTTCAATATGCATGAAAAATTACAAACTGGGAAAGCCAGAGAAGCCCAAGTCCCACACACACGAGAAAGACAACACTCCAGTGACAATACAGGCATTTGCAGGTTGCCCCAGTAACACGCCTTCACACTGATGCAAAAAGTCTGCCTTAAGCTCTGACTGGAGGTTTCAATTCACAAGTTCATTAAATTTTGTCTCTCTACTGAATCTGTCAGGAGGGCTGCCAATTAATATTAACTGTCACGGTGATTCTGTTTTCTATCTCTGAAAGAGTTTGGTCTGAGAAATCAAATGTGTTCCCCATTCCATCAAACAGCGTCATTCATGTAAGCTTTTCTAAAGAACCCTAAATTGTGAAGGCAAACAAGTGATTTTCCAGGCTGCCAGAGGAATCTGCAAGCACTCTGTTGTTTCAGGACAGCAAAGTGTCAAGAGGGTTCCTGTTTGCTGGCATTCCCCAGTGATCTGGGTGATCCAGACCACACAAAAAGAAAGGGACCATGTGGATTTCTTTTATGTGTCTTCAAATCATTGTGCTCCACACACACATTTCAGGCAACACCTATGTGACAGGAAAGAAACCTCTTTTTACTAGGTATGATGATTTTCACAAACCCTGAAATGCAACACTACAGTCTTTTTTTCATCTGCACAACAAACTCAGTACCTAAATTGTTGGAAAGACTCTTACCATCACTTGAATATTGAGCAAGGGAGACTAGAGATGACAAAAACCAGGCCACCTATTTTAACTCCACCAGATATCGGTGCAGGACATTTTAAACCAAGGAAACATAAAAGTAGTCAACAATTTGCAAAGCTAAATAATGTCTGTTCTTCCTCTTTAGGGAACATTGCTCTAAGTATTTAATAAATAATTAAAGTAGCTGACAAAAACTTAGCAAGTTCTGTGCCTACAGAGATCTTCCAGACTAAACCAGAAAAGACCGATAGAAAGTGAGAGCAGTAATTCATCTAAGAGAGGTAGTGACAATAACTTAAGTTAGAGAGTTTCTTCAATCAGTGGCAATGAAATCACAATCTGCACACACAGGAGGAGATGGACAGGGAAAGCACTCCGAGTAAGGATGTCAGCATGCTGAGAAATTCAAAGCAGATTGTGCAAGTCAACATGGGAGACAGAAAAACAAAGACATGACAGAAGGAGAATGACACTGCAGAAACACACATGGCTCTCTACATTCCTGGTGGCAAAGGAATGTAAAGATTGAGGAAATACTTATCCCTGCTCTATTCAGAACTGAAAGGTTCCACAGGCTAGACTAACTTGCATAGCAATTATTTCAGATTAAGCTCCTGAACTGCTCTGGACAAAGGCAGACTCATACAGAAATAAAAAAATTAAAGAGAAGACAGAAAAATATCAACTAATTGAAAAAAGAGATACTTTTCAGAACCACAGATGTCAGGGACACTTTAAAGTATCCCTTCAATCTCTAAAGAGAACTGAGCAGGCAAGCAGGAGCTTGAGCAAAATTACAGCCTTACGAAATTGCCCAAACCATCTCAACATCACAGAATGTACAAAATTCCTGAACTGTGAAATCACTGCAATAGAACATACACAAGAACAGCCATCCTCGTCCTCTTTTCCTTTATGGAATGACAAAAGACATCCTAAAGAACAATAATTAGAACACAGACCATCAGAAATATGTCCTAACAAAGCCTTTTGAAAAGTTCTCAAAACATCTGATCTTTTCATAAAGGAAGGAAAAGTCCAACCAGTAACAGAGGTAGAAATATTTCTACACAATGGTAAGGCTACATGGGACTAACTCAAAAATCACTGAAACAACAGCACAGAGACTTGCAAGTGGATCATGTCTAGACTAGAGACATATATATATATGACATTGAGTGTGTATTGGTTGAGTGTTCCTCACATATGCAACTGGGCAGAACTACATTACCTTACTGCTGTTTCTTTCATGTTCTGTTTTTTCATTATACCAAGGTTCATCCCATTTCTCTTCAGCTTGCCATGCATACTTTAAAATAGTGCTCAGAATGGCTTCAAAGAGGAGGATTATTAGATAAATAATCAAAAAGGAATTCATGGACCTATAAAGAGGCAAAAAAATAAAGCAAGAAATTTCAGTTTATTTTACTTCATCTGTTGACACAGTGTGTTTACATGAATTGATCAAAAACTTGTTAGACCATTTTCAGTAAGTGTAGCCTGTGCTTGACACAGCTGTAAAGTTTCTATGTGACAAGGAGGCAACATAATGGGAAAGAAATTCTACATCTGACTAAAATAAACTATATAGCAACAAGAAGACTAGACTAAGGCGCAGGAACACCCCAAAAGCTGACTTGTGTCACACCTACAGTCCCACACTGGTCCTCTTTTTCCCCAACGGGCTTGCAAGGCTGTGCAGGCAGCATAACCAAGCACTGCAGAAATCCATGGCTGCACTTTTTCCTCAGTTAGAAGAGCACTACCATGTGCAGCTGAACATTTAACCCAGGCCAGGCTACAGCAGGATAGTCACACCTGCTTTTTGTTCTGTAACTAGCCAGACCATCCTTCCTACCCATGCTTTGATGACTGAACTTCATGAACTTGTGCTACATACAGTTGCTTGTATGTAGCTATATATTTGCACAAGAATGCCAGGGGACTCTCAGATTTTTAGTAACTGGAATGAAGGCAACATATCAGACCTCCTTTTCCTTTTAAAATAAATCATGAGACTCAATAAAAATATCTATCATAGTAACGCCTATCCTGCAAGCAGGAGCAAGCTTGGATATTTCCACTTTGTACACTACTAAAGAATGTAACATCAAAAATGGATTTTATCTTTATAGCTTCCTTTTGAAGGCAAGGCAGTTAATATTCTCTTCCCTTTGCCTATAACTCAATGATGAGACCACCAGGGTTTTATGTCTACACAGGAAAAACTAAGTTAAAGCTCTACAAATAAAAGAGATATTAGAAAATAAACATACTTTTCTACTGCTGACCGTTTCTGAGATTTACTCTTGTAATTTAATGCCATCTTTGTCTCCATACCTGTATACACAGCAACACCTGGGAAGGAAGGGGGTAAGAGTCAGATTTCATTTTCTGCATAAATACAATTTGCAGAATTTTTCATTTTGAGAGATACAGGATAAAAGCAAACGATGGTACTACTTCTGTGTTTACTATGAGACAGTATTTTGTACTATTTGCAAGCCTCTTCTGTAGCAAAAGAGTACTACTAAAGTAATTTTAACACCTACTTTAACACTCTTCATTATTATGACTGTACTGCTCTTCAATATGTATTTTATGGAAATCAGCATGGTAAATCTCAGGAGAAAGCCTTCAACAATAGGTAACAGTAAGAACAGTCATTTATCCATTGAAGTTAAGTTATTCCTTTATCAAACCACTTCAAATATTTTCACAGAGCAGAGCTGGAACTTTATATCCTCAGAGGTTCTTCAGCATAATATCATTACTTTCATCTGTGATCATATCCCCTCAGGTAACAGTCAGCAAGAGTATTACAATTTCTTCAGTGCAAGTAGAATTAAAACACAGTTCATCAACATGCTTTAAGAAGAGAATACTCTTTAAATATTTAGATGTCTACAAACCAAATATTTCTTTAGTGTTTTTTAATCTTGCTCCACGAAGTAAGAGACTTTCAGGCCCAAGAGGTCTAAAAAGAAATAGACATATCAGCATGTGAACATCAGCTCTTCTGTATTCTGGAGAAGTACTGAAATCCAGTTTCCTATGCAAAGCTGTCCTATATCCCCTAGAAATTCCCAATGCAGCAACTCAATCAGTGATCTTACCCCTTTCACCACACCTCCCACACATCTCCACAGAGCTCTCTGTTTCCTTTCATGTCTCCCTTGGTCACTGCCACACTCCCCCACCACTGTTCCATATCCCATAACTACTGACTGAGCTAAATATTCCAAATGGCTGCTTCAGAGAGAGCCACAAGTACTTGGGAAAGAAGCAGGCAAGAAATCAGTGGAGCTCACAGTGCACCCAAAGTGCTGCTTTAGGTTGGCTAATTTACCAATCCTCTATCCCTCTGTCAGACTGAAATGATCTAGAAAGTTCAAAGCTATTCATACCAAAGAAAGAAACAATTAGATGGATACCATGGCAGCAGTGCCAATTTTTTTTCCTAACACAGAGATAAAATTTCAGGAGGTAAAACAGATGTTTTTTCCTCACATCTATCATGATACAATAACACATTCATTTCTTTGGCCAAGTTCACCATAAGCAGTGTTGTGAAAATAAGGCTCTAATTAGAAACAAGGTTAATATAAGGTTAGAACCATATGTTCTACTGCAGCAGCTTTATCATCTTTAGAAACTGCCAGCATTGGTTTGAAATTTTAAAAAAATGTATTATTTCCACTACTTCAAATGAAAGCAGAAATTTAACAACTGCAGTGGGCAGACTATGTTTCTACATATTAGGTAGAAACAAACGAATTAAAAGTTCAGATGCTAAGTGCTTTGGCATGCAAGCCCTTGGGTTTACCCTACTTTTCCTTTAGCTGTGCCACATGCAGGCCATGATCACTATTAGATAAAAAAAGCTCTTATACTTGAAGTCCCTTTGAAAGTATAACCCGAAGTTACTCAAAAGAGCCAAAGCCAAACCCACAATCCACCTCCTACAGTCAGGAATTTAACTTAAATGTTACTGCAAATGTGACAGTAACCATCACAAATACCATGTGTACCAATTATACACCCAGATTATGGTGGATTCTTTAAATTAAACATACATGTGTTAATATTTTAGGCTAGACTCAGACTTTAAGTGAAAATTTGAACTAAAAGTGACTAAATGCTTGAGCATTTAAAATCTTCATATAAGAAACATAATTTATATTTCTGGATTCAATTTTGTAAAACCAGCCTGACAAATCCAAAATACCTAACCTGAATCAGTGCAACACAGACCAGACAAGTTTAACTTAGCCAGAAGATACAGCTCCCCTAGTCGTCAGAACGTGCAATTAATTTTTTTCACCTCCCTTTAAAACAGCTCTGTTTTACATTGTTAACTGAATTATTTTGATAGATTATATCAAAGCTGCACCTGTCAAGCTTGGCAGGAATGCATTCTGAAAAGCTCTCAATGAAGTAGCAGAAGTGACCTTAGAAAACAGCTGAGTGGGTTTTTGGGGGTGGCATGGGTGAGGCTTTTTGGTAAGGGTGATTAAGCCACTGCACTTGAGGCCAAGTGACCTGGCTGCTACACTTCCACATTTCTTGCAAAACCACTGAAAACTCCTCGATTCACTCTGAACTCCATGCCACTCCCATCCAAAGCTGACAGATGTTTGCCAGTCTCAGACTGAGAGACATTCAGCTCCTCAGACTGAAGGCAGATACGACATGGAAACAGTACTCGTTTAATATTCAAGTAGGAATTTCACTTAAAAAAAAAGTGTAAAAGAAACATTTTGCACATTAGAGGAGTGAAAGAACCATAGCAGATTTACTTGTTTCTGTGATAAATTTACACACAGCACTTCACCTTTTCAGAAGAGGTGACAAAGTTTTTTTGAAAGCTGAACAATCAACAACTCTCAAGATAAAATAACTAAACTTGAACAGTAAATATTTCTGAAAATTTAGCAATTTCTTGTGCGTGATTTCTATGTCTTTATTTCAAACCATGATCCTTCTCACTCCTGTCCTTCCTGTTTTCTCTCCTATCCTGTTGTGGTGGTGGCAATTGAATGAGCAGCTGTTTGGATGCCTCACTGGTAGCTGGGACCAACCCACAGCAATTAGAAATCTTTCCAGGAAGTCTAGATGGAAGTCTGTAAATGGCTTCACATCTTTATTTTTGTAATTGCAAGTTTGTTACTTGCTGTGACTGCACAAGGAAAGGTGGTGAGCCCATGATTATGTGCACACAGCTGTGTTGCCTATAACAGATGTAAGCACTTATCTGCATAGTCCAGCTGTAGTTAGAAATAAATACTAAAAATTACAAATTTGTAGAAGAGGCTTTGTTAAACCAGGAATTTCTAGGGATTTCAACTACAAAAACTGCTTCTCAGTGCCCCTGATGACAGGGCATCTGTTGTAGTATAGATAATACATCAGGGGAAATTGCTTCAGATCAATAAATGCTTTAATTAACAATAACAACAAAGTTACCAGCTGATTATCAGTGCAAAAAAAATTACCTGCCTCGCAACAGCCAAGCTTTCTAGAACTCTTTTTTTAAATCTGTAAATCTGAGTAGCAATGAACTTCTTTCACTCATTTTTTCTCATCTCCATCTGAGGTATGCAGCTGCAGTTGACACTTTTAATAAAAATACTTCCCCTTTTCATATATTCAACAGTAACTCTTGTGATGGTCAAGATTTTAACCACCTCCACATGTTCTAAATAATCATCTTATACAATTTTACTCACCGTACTATTTCTTCAGCTTGTTGACTCACAGTTATTCTTCCAACAAATCTATAAAAGATGGCTATGTCTTAGAAGTATCTACATAAAGACTCAAAAATATAAAAATCTTCTCTACATCTATAAAATACTCATTAAGAGTTCGCAAGTAAAAAATAAATCAACTTTTATTAACAATCAAACTAAACCAATATGGCAAAACTGGCAGTAATTTTACAAGAGACATTTAGCAACAGAAACATTTATCCCTCATACTAACAGGCATTTGAGAAAACTTACTAACTCTGATTAGTTACCACAAAAGATTATATTTCTATTCATTTAAAACAGATTGTGACTTCTTGATGATTCAGTAAGAAATAATTCCTCAACAAATGTAAGTTTGCACACTATCCACCAGAAACAGAAACTTTCCATTTAATAAAGCCAATCTACTACACATTTAAAAATCTGACACACACATATTTAGCATGACTCCAGCCACAAAAAGGGATACAAACTTCTATATAGAGATTGTACCTTAATTTACTAAATATCAAATATTTGAATATCTGTTCAAACTGAGTATCTTAGTTTTAAAATACCTAATATTTCTCAAATATCTCCAAGCTTACTTAAGAATATACTTGGACTTTAAAAACTATTACTTCATAGCTACCATTTTCCATTATACAATTCAGAAGAAACTTGGATGGGAACATAACTTTTGCTACCCATGATGCTGCTTCACAGAGTCTACGACCTTGCTTGCTGATGTTAAAGCACACTCGGATATCCCTTTTTTAAACTAAGGTTTTGCTGCTGAAGAATGGAGCTCAAACCTTCTCTGAAGCATATGTGAAATAAATATGAGCAACACATATCCTTAGAATTAGACTTGAGTCAATTCCACTTTAACATATCCTATATAATACTGAAATCTCCAGCAGAACCTTATAGAACTTTCTTCAACCTGATCAGACTGAAGGCCATTTAATTCTTTAAAATCTAGAAACAAGTTTAATGATTAGAACTGAAATGCACACAATTAAAATAAAAAATATAAATATTATAATGTCTGGTTTACTACTCAAGTAAACAAGTTTAACTTGTCACTTGCAGCTTTCAGTAAGTACATATGTATAAACACAAGCTGGTGATTAAAACCTGAAATTCAAGCAGATGTCTGAAGCTATTTTAATCCTAATCTGTAACATTCTGAGCATTAAAAACCTCATTTTGATTTAATTTCAAAATATTTACTAATAAAGTGATACCTGTATAGATCTGCTTCTGGCTGCTGACATTCTATAACAGCTACCAGTTTGTCCAGGTTGGCAACAGACTGCAGCACTGCTGTTTCTGGGACTGCAACGTGTGTCTGTAAAACAGTGCCCAATGGGTTACTACAGGTCTACCAGACAGCAGGGCAGGTATTTCAACAGGCTGAAGGAAAAATAGCACCACAAATGAACTACATCCTGTTTCACAGAAGTAACCCAGACCTTAAGATTGGTCTCTCCATCCAAACTTGCAGTGGTAACGTGGCATGAACCATCCACTCGGTCAGATGACAGGAGCACCAGATCAACAGGGAAAGTCTCATCTTTGGCTACTCTGACAATGTCCCCCACCTGTGAACATAGATCAGAAAGACACAAAGAGGTTTAAAAGGTAGAATTAATTTCAGCATTGTTACCAAACCACAACGATTAGCAATAAAACAAGAGTATAATAGAAAGAAAATGCTCAATTTGTCCTTTACCCGAATGTTTTTAGACCTGGTTTTCACAAGGCCACCACTTCGAACAACATAAACTGGAGCACCGTTGACTTCATTGTCTGCTTTATGTCGTAGCCAGTCCTCATAGCCCTGTGGAAAACACATAAAAATCTACTTTTTAAGCAAGAAAACTAAAAAAATAGACTAAATTTAATCTACTAAGCAAGTGTTCGAACTACTTCCTGTATTGTCTGAATACAGTTACTAACTTCTCTTGAGTTTCTGTTCCAGCTGTTACTCAAGAACCTGTGAACTTCTTAATTTTGTCACTTTACACAAACATGTAAAGGCAAATAAAGTAGCAGAAGTGGTGGAAACTTAACAGTCCCATGTTCTCTCAAAACAAACAGGCAGTGACATTTTCTGTGGATCAGCTGACCAAGCACTCAATAAATCTTTGATCTATATGGATTAATACACCACCAAACCGGAACAGTCACTCCTCAGGCTCCTTTGTGGATTCCTTTTTTTTTGTCAGAAGTAACAGATTTAAATTACTTTCTCAAGTCATACCATATAACATTTCTTATAGTTACTGCCACAGCCCATGCATGGAATCTCAAGACTTAATTCTGTATGACATGCTGTTGACACATCAGCTCTGTCCAGCAAAAGGAGATGACTGAGAAGATTTTTGTTCTTTATAAGTCCTAATGGAACAATCTGCAGCAACAGTCTGAGCTTTTAATTGATAAACTAAACAGCTTTTCTTTACTTGCTACTTCACACTTGTTTAGGCACCCTTTATCCCATGCACACACGTGCAAACACTCAGGATTGTGAATTCAAGTATACTATTCCCCTCCTATTTTCTAAAGTATGAATCCACTGCTTGTTTAATCTAACAACATTAGATCATAATAGCATATTAATTTCTGATCCTCATGTCTAGGTACTGTTTGGAAAGCCCCACTAGCAAGCACAGGAAATGGATCAATCATGCAGGAAGTTCAAATGTCTCTTACAACCTGGCAAGACTCCTGCAACTGATCTGCAATAATAGAGACTTCCTAAAATGCTTTTCTGTAGAAAACGCTTCCTAAAATGCTTTTCTGTGAAAGAGTTAAAAACATTTCCTTGGAAGTCTGCAGACAGAAGAAGGCAGCTGTATGAAACAGCTGGCATAATCCCAACTCATCCTACAAACATTATATGAATGTCATAGTACAAGAAATACTAATGCAGATGCAAGTAAGAGAGTTCTGGAGTTTGTAGGAAAAGTTATATGATGAACTTTGCACGTTAAAAATAGTGTTGTAGTTCTATCTTCACACATCTCCACTGTTACTTGCACAAATGAATAAGGACAGCATAACTGCACTACCTGTGTTTGAAAAGAAAGATGGAGAGGGGGAATGAGGAAAAGAAAAGAGCTTTATATGCCAAAGAGTTCAAAATCAGTAATTAAGAAGTGTGCAGTAATAGCAGCCATACAGAGAGATACTGAGACATCAGAATCCTGAAGTCCCTAAGTATGACTCTTGAACCCTTCCTAAGCAGTATGAAAAAGCAAGAGTCAGTACCTACAGCTCCCTGTTAAAGGTGACTGACAGAAGAAAACAGGGATTTAACGAACATCCAGTAACCTTGGGGCATTTGTCTCACAAACCCGAACAGCTGAGCAATGTGGGCATTTGGCAAAGAACTGAAATTTACCTTCTTTAGAAAGTACAGATTTCAGCGCTTTCTCCATCTGACACCTCCTGCCTCCAACACAAGGGTGACACCTCACACCAGGGAATTCTTAAGAGCCAACTTAGTCTGGTCAGTTCAAATTCCCCCCAAGTTTACCTACTGCAGCATTTTTGAGAGGTCCTTGTCCTCGCTTGAAAACATTGGAAAAATACATTGAAAAAGAAACATGAAAGAGGAATACAGGGAACGTTGCCTTACTTGCAAAAAAATAAACTAAAGATTAAAATCCCTCAAATTATATTCTGAAGTCCTGCTGCAATAACTGCATCAATGTAATTAAGAAAATATCTGCATTTTACACTAGTAGGTTTTTCATTTTCAGTTTAAGTCTATAGTTAATCAAAACCTGCAAAGTAGTTGTTTATTATTTACCTGGCAGCAAGTAAATGTCTATGTTTCTTCAGCTAAATACCTATGAATTTATTAAAATGCACTGTTTCCCAAGGTTCTTAGGGAAGTATCTTTATTTTGTTGTATTTTTGTTTGTTTGTTTTTTAATTTTTGTTTTGTTTTTATTTATTTAACTTTTAACTCCTTGAAGGACTGCATAAAGATCTTCAGAGGCATAAGGAGGAAAGTGCCCTGGCTAACAAGACAGACAAAATGACACAGCATGAGCTGCATCACTTTGCAGTCTTGTATGTCCTTCTTCTGACCTAGGTGCAATTACACTTCCAAGTAGAAAAAGTTCTGTCCCCTTGGCTGAGATTAAAACAAGGCTGAGTTCTGAGGTTTGCAAGAGGTGCCACATTCACCAGTCTTCTGGAAGACAGGGGACTTTTTCCATCCGGTGCTAAGGTTCTCAAACCTTCATATGATTAATGCTTCTATTTTTCCCCTTCATCTTTTGAGAGAATACTAAATTATAGTTTAACATTTATCCTGATGTAACTTTGTATAAACCAGTGCCTCACAGTTTTAAAAAAGGGGTTCTTTCCTTAAGATCTGCTCCTATTATACTTCTGGTTTAGAGAAAATGGGAACTGATTTTGAGGCAATACTGGGGATTTTTCCCTCTGCAATCCAACAGATTTATCTTTCTCCCTTGTCTGATGGCAGCCTGTTGGAAATAGCACAATTCAGTCCCAGATAACAGCCTGTGAATACTGCTTACTTCCTCTGCAGCAAGTAGGAGAAACATGAGAGTCCATTAGATCAGTTTAGATGGTTCCAATAGTCCTTGCAGAGATATTGAGACAACCAGAAAATCTCTTAATGCCTCGGAAGTCATGAATGATTCGAAGCTTCCAGAAGGAATGACAAAATCTCTGTTCTTCGAAATTGATGATAAGGGAGTTAAATTTCCCAGTATAAGATTGGACATCTAGAAACATTTTTTGGAAATATTTTGGACTATTTTAGACTTATACAAGTCTAACTTCTTTCTGGAAGGAAGGATCTAATATTCATAACTCTGCTTCATAACTCTTTTAGTTCACACAGTTTCACTATCCACTGCTTACAAATGATTATAGCTTTTGAACATGTGATTTTTTGAGGGTGATGGTAACAACTGCAATTGAATAGGATTAGGGCATTCTACATATACAAATTCCACAGCAACAACATGAAATATTAGTCCAAATATTACTCCAGCTTTAAGAACCACTCAGTCCCAAACACCTTTCTATCTGCTTGAAAGCTAGAACTATTTTTACTTTTGCCCTATTTCTGGGTGGCTTTGGGTCTTTCTGGCACAGAAGACAAATTGAAATTCTGGTTACAGCTCTGAAACAGTCTCCTGCTTATTTTTCAGTTGCGAGGCTGCATCTATTCCCGACAGCACTGTCAAATCCCTTGAAGAGGACAGTTCCTGAAAATTACCTCCCTGCAGAAGAGATTATAATTTTTATCCAGATCACTTCTTTATTTATGAGCTTGTTTCTTTCTCCTCTTGCTTTAAGGGCATAAAGAAAACAGAAGACCTTTTTTTCTTTCTTTTTCTTTTCTTTTATTTTCACATCCTGATTCCAGAGGCTCTAGGTCTCAGTAGGATATAATATGGTGCTGGAACAAGATTTCTATTAAACTCAGAAGATTTTTCTTATTTTAAGTGCTATCAAACACTCCAAAATGTTTTATGCGACCGAAGAAGACCAGGGGCTTTTACCTGGTACAGAATCACAGTTAATACACATTTTACACCAGAAAACTTACCCCTTGGGGCAAAATTTGCCTTTTAACTACAGACAAACACACCCTGCATCAGTTTCATCTGCCCAAGCTCCATTCTCAGGGTGTGATGTGGGAGGACTGGTTCTAACAGGCAGTGAGGTGTGCCAAAGGAATAAGTGAGGAGCTTTCAGAAAAGGTCTGATAACAAGTGACATGTAATGTTTAGACAAAAATGCTGCCTGACAGTCATCCACTGTCCATTTTAGGGTACTGCAGTGAGTCACCGAGTGCTTGACAACCAACCAAATGCTGAAGCTCAGGCATCTAACTGGAAGCATTAAACCCAAAACAGTTTCTAAAAATGACACCATTTTTATGTATTTTTAGTATCTAAGCACTATCCTGGTCAGACTCTGTTAAGTAACTTTACTTCAGTAGGACTTCATGCTGCCAGATTTTTCCCCTTTACCTGTTTTATGGCTGTCACAGTTATGACAAAGAATAATGGCAATCCACTGGTAATAGGACTGGTAGGGGTATCTATCATGAGCTAAAAGAAAAGAAAATATGAAAATTAGTCCAAATTTCATTTTTACAATTGTACTTAAAAAAAAAAAAAAAAAAGGCAAGATGACTGTTTTCCAAACTCTTTATTATAATCTATGAGTATTTTTACTGCATTTTACTTCAAGTCCTGCAGAATTTCTCAAGGAAAATTCAGTTTCTGACAACTAAAATATACATCAGTAATGATGCAAACAAATGTTTTAGGGCACAGATCAGCCTTAGTCACATTCCTAAAGCATGTGACAATTTTAAGGGTCCTTACCAAAAGGAAGGTATTAATTTCATCTTAGAAAAATGAATTCAAAAGCATATTAGAAAGGAAGGAAATCTACATTTCATGAAGCTGTTTCAACACTCTATATGATCTACTGCTTACCAGCAATGTAGAGTATAACATCATCCACTTCAGAAGTGAAAATAATGTTAAGAACAGTAATTTCCAATGCTTTAGGTATTAGAGAACACTTTTTTTAGACTGCACCTTTCTGGTTGCCCCAAGTTAACATGCGGTTTTTACAATTTGTGCAATTGTTGCTGACATGCCAAAAGTGCAGTGTACACACTAAGGTTCTGAATGTGGGGGGATGTTAGTGGTTCTCTTCTTCTGCAGGAAAAATCAACATGGTCAAGTGCTGTAAAGGAAATATACACAAGAACTACTCCAAACCACAGACATTGATCAGATCCACTTTACCTGAGACTTATGGCATTGCTTTGGGAATCATTAAAGAAGAAAAAAAAGTCATACATGAAGTTTACTCTATCACTGGGGAAGAACCTCACAGAGAAAACAGATCATGCCACTTTACCATGCACACAGGAGGTTTTTGGTTGGTTTTTTTTACTGAAACAGACAATTTATAGAACACAACAAAAATGAGACCTAGCCTGTAATATTGCCTGTTCTTTAATGGTAGCACCACAATTTCAGCTTGGCAGCATACTAACCAAGAAAAATCCTACCAAAAGCATCTGATTTTTGGCTGGATAGGGTTAATCATGGCATTTCTGCCATCTGTACTCTCTCATTCTTTCTCAAGAGAGGCTCATATATGAAAATAAAGCAGGTTTTGTACCGGTGGAATTGTCATGTTTCACCAGGACACCATGATCCTCTGCCTGCCGTGCAGCTGGACACACAGCCACAACACACCTCGTGTCACCAAAATGCAGTCTGTCACCTTGTTTTGGGCATGCACATGTGTGGTGAACAACGTGGACTGGACTGTGCTGCAAGTTGAAATTGCACAATGAGACCCTGCCCCAGCTCTGCCATCCCCAGTGGAAAAGGTGGTAATGACAAACACTGCATCTTGGCCACACGAGATTCATAGGACAGGGAAGGTACCATGGTGCTCAGCTTTAAAAGGCATCTTAACCTCATAAAAAGAAAAATATTAGATATTAAAGAACGTCCAAAACGTGTTTGAATAAAAACAGAATTCCATTCTAACAAATGAACAAAAATGACTTCAACTTTTCTGCTGTTCTGTTTCAAGAACGCAGACACACAGACAAGCAGCATATCTGGAATTTCATTACTCTCTTAAGAGCTTTAAAGTTGTATTGGAGGCAGAAAACTGAATCCCTCTGCTGACTGTGCAATGGACTTTGAAGTCCACTGCACACTTAAATACATTAGCATTCATGAAGATAAAACCTAAGCATAATACTCAAATTTGGACATAATTATTTTTAAAGTTATATTCATGTTCTTTTCCTGGAGAAACTGGAAGAGTATTCTTTTTATAGACAGAATATATAAGTAGAGAAGTTATATTCATTAAACAAAAATCAGTGGCAAAATTTGTAACAAAAATTGCAATTTCTTGAGTATTATTCAACTTACCTGAACCAAAAATATAATGAGAAAATAAAAGTTGGCTACTCTTCTGAACTGCTCAAATAAGTTTTTTGGAACAAAATTCCACACTGTATACTGAAGGGGGAAAAAAAGGAGAGAGAGAGATGAATAATTACAACACAGTGCACAATTTTTCAGTGCAATTCAGTTCTGCTCCCATTGAACTCTCCTAACCTAAATGTTCTCATTCCCCAGGTCCCCTCCCCCAGACCTTGCTGCTGTATCCAATTTTTGTTCTTTTTTTTTTTTATTCCTTCTGTTTTAAGTACAGCTAGCAGGGAAGCAATGGTAGCAACTGCATCTCCTCTACAGGCCAAGTTTAAAATGTTTTCCTCCAACTGGGACAGGGGCAGCTGGAGTAATTTGGCTGCTTGTGTCCTGGGTAGGAGGAAAGAAATTAATTCCTGCAGCTGTAACGTTCCCTTCAACACTACAGCAATGAGGCACATCCCCACCATCAGATCTATTGATTTCAATCCAAGGACACACCGGGAGGGAATCCGCAACTGCAGTCCACTGCTGATTTATTTTATGCAGAGTACTGGCTTTCAATCTGGCTATTTTGAAGAAGAAGCAACCCAGCTTCATCCTGCCTTTTAAGTAGTTTTGGTAACACTGGATGAAAAAGTACTTTTCTTCAAAAAGCCTGACCAACTTGCTTAATTGCTCTGTACTAGAGTTTTGAGGAAAGAAGGGTGAGAGAATGAGACAAACTACACAAGAAGCAACTCAGCTTTTCCCTCAAAACAGTTCAGTTTGTTTCATTTGGAATATTGTATATGCACCACTAGACATAATACAGGCATGCACATCTGCCACGACTTCTTAAGTAACATATCAAGTGGTTTTACCATGACAAATTGATTACCTTACCTTGGATGATATGATTCTGTTGTCTGCAAACTTCTGAGGAACATAATGGCCATGCTGGGGGAAACGGTTTGCTATATAAATAGTTCTTGTGTCGCTTTGATGCGGTGGGTCAAAACCCTATAACACAAAATAAAAAAAGAGGTAATGAAGAAAGTTGATTTTGTTAACTGCTGTTTTTTAAAATTCTGTGGAAAAAGACATTTGGATATCAAACAGCAGTTTCAAAGAGTAAAGAAAATCAGTGTACAAAACTGAAGTCTGCTGTGTCCAGACAGTTTTCAAAAACTGTGGGGAAAAAAAATCCAAAATCTTACTTTTGAGGTTGTGTACTCATTCTGAAAAAAAAATGAAAGGAAAAAACCCTGTCTCAGTGCTGGAGAACACTTGCTACCATGCAAACTTGAAGCCCTGCAAAACTTAAAAAGGAAGAAACAGAAATAATTTACAAAACCTCATAACCATGCTTCCAGTAACCCTAATAAAAACAGATTATTGAGAAAAAGGTCAAAACATACAAACTATATTACTATGCTGTGGTAACTGGATTTTGAAAAGATTCTCACCAGAGAAAAGCCAAAAGCATATACATCTGACCAGACAGCAGTATTTTTCCTAACAAGTTCTAGCTCCAAGAACTAACATTTTGTCTCATTTCAAATGTCATTTCCTGCCACTATGACCAATTCATATGGTGCCAAAGTGAAAGCAAACCCATGGAAGGAAAAAAGAAAAAGCATACTCAGAAATACTTATCAATAATTTCCTGCCAAAACAGATGATCTGAGTGAGGTCCCTGGGAATCAAAGCCCTGTTGCAGGTCTAATGGTCAGTGTTTTCATCATCTGCTTCTTCAAGAGGAAGAGGAACACAAGTGTTAAACCTGCAGATGACACCACCCTGGGACTGCAAGAACACCAAGTAAGAGAAAATTCTTGACCAACCAGATGCACAGAACACAAAGATCCAGCACAAAGAAACTGCATCCAGAAAAAGAGAATAAAAGCCCGTAAAGGAATTTGGAAAAAAATGTCAAAGGCTATAAGAGATCACAGGCTAGACATGAGTCATCCACGTCACCCCACTGAGAAAAAGGCCTTCAGTGCAGAGGAGACTGGAGGAGGAGTGGGAAGAGTGGGAGCCACAGCTGAAGAACTGTGAACCAACTGGACAGCACCCAGAGGAGTGCAGCACGAGCCCCAAGAGATCCTGAAAACATGACATATAACGCAAGGCTGAACAATCTAAAAAGCAAAGAGCAAACAAATTAGAGTAATTTAGCCTGGAGGAGAGGAAACTTGGGATATCCTAGTAAATCTCCTGAGACACAGAAGACTGTTCCATTGAGAAAATGGGTGCTTTGAAGGCCAAAGAAGAACAGAAGTAAGCAGGGTTAAGCTGCAGGTAAGAAAACTTAAGTCTGAGTATTGGAAAGCAAACAAATACCTTTGTTGTGGAAAGGATAATTAAATACCAAAATAAATCACGAGGAAAGGTTGCAATGTCTGTAACACAAGGGCTTATATCTAGGTCATTCAAGTCTATGTTTAATTGAGCCTTTCCTGGGGCTACATGACTCACCAGAACCCCTCCTAGCAACAATGTTCTGACCCAGAGAAGCAGGTGATGGCAGAACACAACCAAACAGTAGTAATTCTGATAATAGGCCAAGAAGACCACTAAAGAAAAAGGCAAAAAGCTTTTACATATGAAATAAACTAGTGAAAATAAATTTGGAACTGTTGTTTGATTTGGAGTCAATGACTGTCTGCAAAGTGGTGAATTCCACCATCAGCATCACACACATTCCTAATCTTAGAACAACTTGCAGAGTTTACACAATCTCCTTGTTCTTTGATGCCAAGTGCAAGGACAACTGGTGGCGTCCTTTGCTAGAAAGGGCATTATCAATTCTACCACTGCAGGTGAGGAAACTGCATTTACAGTTGTTTTGCTCCACTTGTGAATGAGGCTCAGAGCTTTATTCATGTCAAATAAAAAGTGACACTTCACAAAACTCCAGAAGATACTTCTTTACCAGTTAACTACAGAAGATGAACAGTGAGCACAATGACTGACATAAAAAATGGTTGGTATAACCAAACATTATTTTTTTTTAATTCATTAATATCTCTAATGCAGGTCATTAGGCATGTTCACATTCAGGATGGTGTCATTTTACAGTAAAGGAATAATTTAAAAATCCTCTCAAACATACAAATATTTGTGTTTGGCATCATTACTACAGAAACATTCTGCTTTAGAAAGAAAGAGGTCCAGAAAAATGAAGGGAGAAAGAAAGGAAGGGGGATTTTTCAAAGAGATTTGAAGGAGAATAAACTTTAGATGACAAGCAGTGGAAGGCTGGTCTAGTCACATGCTCCAGGGTGAAAACTTGTTTAAAGATAAGAGTGGAGCAGGGAGACAAAGATAGGGGAAAGGATGGAAAAAAATACACAGGATACCAAAAGCAAAATGCAAGGAACTGTTTGCAGCTTTAGAAAAGAAATACAAGCATGAAAGGAAGATGAAAAAAAAAATGTACCTGTTAACTGCTGACACAAAACTTAAAGAGAAGAGTGTTTGTAGCAGAAGCATTTTGGATATCTGACATTAGTGACACATTATTTCAATCCAGAAGATGCCACAAATAAAAGCATTTTTCAAGCAAGAAAAAAGGTGCCTAATTAGTAAGACTTCATGCACAGCTCTCTTCTACATCTCAGAAAATGTCTGGCACTCACAAAATGCCAGACATCCTCACTTTGGAAAGTCTACAGCCTGAAAAAATTCCACTCTAAATCAAACAGATGTAAAGCAAGGAAAAAAAACCACAAAGAGCAAAGAAAACAAGTTGCAGTCTTCTTTCTGGCAGTGATAAATGCTAACCTGCATGTCACTTGCTGAACACTATTTAAAGATAAATCAAAGATTACTGACTGACTAGGATATCATTGAATTTTTTTATATGCCCTTTTTAGGCCACTATCTGAGCACCTGAAGGTTGATGAGTATGATGACATTTTATGATGAAGAGTAAAGACCTCTGTACAACTCCAGCCTCACTGCACAAGCACTTCTATCAGAATGACTACCTCTGCTGAAGCAGGCTCAGATGATTAAAAGCAAGAACTTTACTTTCCAAATAAATCAGAATCTCAGGCCATAAAAGTTTACAGGTGCAGTTGTAGAGCTAAAGCAGCTTAAATTTGCAGTCTATAGAGATTTAATTCTGTTTTGTTGACATTTGCCATGGAGAAAGCAGGAAGCTGTGCAGTCAGCAGATCACAGTGCACACGCAAGGCAGGCAAGGGGACAAAAACCCCTCAGTTGTCAGAGCTGGGTTGGAAAAGGACACATCCCTGACAACCTCAGTGGCTTGGCTGTAGTCACAGCAGGAAGTGAGTGTCAGAGCTGGGAATAAAAACCAGATTTCCTAAGTTTTATGACTATAACTACTAAAAATCACTTGAAATTAGCCAACAACCCTGCCCTCTCATAATTAGCTGATGAGACCACAACTAAGCAGATCTTCCAGAGAAATTTTAATTACACATCTCTCCAAGGAAAATTCTGCACAGACATTGAACTTCATTGTTCAAGAGCTGAAACATCTTTAACTGTACTCTAACTATGGAGCTGGTCACAAAGCCTGCTCCTGACACTAAACTGACTCGTCCAAATTTCTGCCCAGCAAGGGATTTTCCACAGTGACTCTGTGCAGCCAGCAAAGCGGTGCAGAAAGCACACTGTTTCCTAATTTCACTTAATAGACAGTTCTTCTCTCTCTAACGTCATTCTCCAACTCAGCTGCAAAAGTAGGGTAACATGCCCTTGTCAAAGGATTTCTGCAGCTAAACAGCATGAGCAGAGAAACCCTAAATTAGAGTCTTGCAAAATTATTAAGTTGTCACCAATCTCTTTCCAAAAAAAGTTAGTTTTCCTGCAGTTATCTAGTGAAGTGATTTCTACCCAAGTGCACAGATCACTGACTTCTGACTATTTGCCACTGACTGACAAATAATGCTGAATATATGACAAGACCTGGTATTTAAGGCTTCTTGACCAGGTGTATTACAGGCATATATATTACATGAATCCCCTTTAAATAAAATTTGACCTTAAGATGAAGTGACCTGATTTTTCTCTCCTTCATGTTGCAAATTAAATCTATATTTATTGTCTAAAGTTCAGTTCTTCAAATGATTTACCAATACAAACCAGGCATTATCTACCCTTGGAATACAGCTCTCATTTAATCTTTGCTACACACTTGCCCAGAAGTTTTGCACCCAGATGAACTTAATACTTTGGTTTTAAAAACAGCCTAAAAGCATGCCACTTATATACAGTACACAGATACTCTAGTCAAGCTGATTTATAAAGCACAAATGAAAATAATCTTAAAAAAAAGAAAGAGAAAGAAGTGATTCATAGTTTTCATTTCTTATAAATTTGAATGACTGTAAGCAAAGTCTGAGTAATTTTCACTAAACTTCTTCAGCAGTTACTGTTCTAAAAGTTAGACAGTGCAGTAAATTAGGCCCCTTTAAAACAGCACAGAAAACATATCCCGGGGAACTGAGGAGAACTATTTAACTGTAATTTTATGCAATTTATTTCATGAAAGCCATGGGATTCAACAGCCACTCCCAAACAACTCTAGCCTACATTTTGTCTGCATCTCAACCACCGTACTTGGAGAACTGCCCATCGGCCATCAGGTACGGAAAACTGATCCATCCATTTTCCCACTTTGGTCTGTGGTTTTGGTTTTGTCTTGGGGGGTTTTCCCCAGCTTTTTTAATATATCATGCCAGTTTTCTGATCATATAATAAAAAGATTCCCCTCAAAAGAAGAGTTTTACACTGCTGCTGAGGAAGCCCTAATAACACATATAACAAACTAGGCAACAGCACAGGAAGCAAATGAGGATCAGCACTAAAAAAAGACCCTCCCAACACTTGCAAGCTCAAAGGAAGAAAAGAAAAAAATGCCTTTGTACTCAACCTGTTGCTGTAACATAGACATCTACTGCCAGACTTAACACTTCAACAGCACTATTAAGGTATGGCAGTGTGCACCAATGCCCTCCCAGCACTGTTAGGCAAGACAGCAG